AGGCTACCAACACCGCACCTCCCCATGAGCTCCGTCGACATCTGTTCGTCCCAGTCCGACCTCTCAAGATTGGCCAACCTGCGGAGCTCCTTCACCACTCCCTCCAACTCCATCGACGACTCAAGGTCTAGGTCTCCTCTCTCGAGCCTCTCCTTCGCTTCACCGTCCCAGAAGGCTACCAAAGCCTTGAACATCACGAAAATGTTGGTGAACGTCTGCTCAATCTTGGCCTCCATCACTCGCCGCCAGTAGTTCGTGCACGCCTTGTGGTCATGGGCGTGGGAACCATTCTGTTGGTCGGCCGTATCTACTCCCCCCATGTTGGCCACGTAATCCTTACGCATCCACGGCTGCTGTAGCTCCATGGGTTTCCCCTTCTGCCCAGCTTTGCGCAGGCTGGACACGCACGAAAAGGGGCAGGCAGGCGGGGGGCAGGCGGAACACATGGGTCAGGCACCACACTTGCGGCTGCGGCGACGACGAACTGGATGGAGGTCGTCGGACGTAGCAACCGTTTTATTTCACCACATGAAAAAATGGAGGAGCGTGGTCCAACAGTCAGAACGCTCGAAGTCTCCGACGGGTAAAACTCACCTGATGTGCCACTTCGAATCGAAGTCCGGGTTAGGGGTGTTGTCCTCGTCCAACAATCGAGGAGGAGCGTTGCCGTCCGAGCAGTGGATGAAACGGCAGTACAACAGCTCGAACAAGTCACGCGGCATGCACGCCCTCACTAGAGGATAGTCGTCGTGCAACGATCTACTCCAGTGCTTCCTCATGCGCGTTTTCTTGGTGAGCCCCATCGTGATCGTGATGCCCAGCATGCCGTAGATGTGCTTGCGCTCGAATGCGGGTTCCGGCAGGGTGACCCTGCCTAGAGTTCTCGTCTTCTTCATCTGATGCTCCTTGCGCTTCTCCGTAGCTCCGGGGGGTGGTGGTGTGGTGCAAAGGTTCACGTACTTGTTGGTCTGGAAAAGTATCACGTTTCGCGCGGAAGAGGTCAGGGACAACAAGACGGAGCGAAGATTAGCATATTCGCCCCAGAGGTCGCGCCGAGGTGTCGTATATATACACAATGATTGTTGATGCAAGCCGTGGCAGCACAGACATGTTTGATTAAATTAATCCGCATATGCCTTCCGCGGGTGTCTTGGAACGTAAGCAATACCGCAAGGGGCCACAACAGACTGTGTTCTCAGGCATCTACCTAGTACCCGCTTTCAATTGTTGGGTTGGTCGGGTGGATATCGGTAATCAAATTACAACATACATAACAGGGATCCCGCGCGCTGGATAGGGGGGGGGGAGGGTGCTTCTCTACAGGGAGTACATTCCGCGGTATTGCATCCGCCCTTGCAAACCACCCCATGCACGATACGCTGGTACGTAGCACGTCAGGAGGGAAGTATGCATGAACACCGCATAAACCCCCGTGTGTTTGACAATCTTGATGAGCTGTGATCTACATTCGGCCAGTATGATTAGGCGACCAAGGCATGCAGACGACATCATGCAGTGTAAACACCAACAAAGGGCATACAATTCATCCCGCCCCCCCCCCTCCCCCCCTTCCCGCGGAACTACTTTCAAGTCCGACGCATAACGGCTCGGTCTCTTACTTGCGTGCAACCCCCCTACTGAGTTGTTCGAGTGCAACTTAATAAGGAATGCGACCACACGAAAACACCAATGCTCACCTTTTGCACGAAAAGATCTACTGCCTTGTCGGGGAACATCATGTTGAAGCACGTCTTCATCAAACCACTCAGCGGGAACTCTCCGTTCTCGTCGCGGCCGCCCATGAAGGTATCGAGAGAGGGCAACTTCGATCGCGCGGACGCCGACAGCGAAGCAGCGCTGACCGCTTGCCGCCGGGTTCTCTTCTTGTGGTCCGTCGTTCCCGCAAAGTCAGGAATGCCGCGGTCAGTCCACGCCACCTCCGGGTACTCCTCCGCCTCAGCTTTCAACTCCTCCTGCTCCTGCTGCTGCTGCTTCTCTAGCTCCTCTCTCTCTTGTCGCTCCTCCTCCTCCACCTCCTGCCGCGGCCGAAGCTGGTTTTCTTTTTCCTTTTCTGCCGCTTTCTTGAGCCTCTCCTTCTCCCTGTCGCGTATGGCCTTGAGCTGGGTTGAGCACGTCGTCGGCAAACAGCGGAAACAGAGCGGCAGGTGTGTCAATTCATACCCTGCCGTGTTGTGTTCAATCATCCCGAAAAAAAATAAAGTCGTACGAGGCGACGGTGTCACTAACACCTACGAATCGAGCGAGCGAGAGATTCACATGAAACTGACACGGCGATCAAAAGTAACACCATACAGGGCCAGTAGGGTGTTCAGGTCACGCACATGCATTTACATACTCCGAATCGTGAACTCGACATTCGTTGCCCCCCTGCCAACATTGGAAACCACACCCGTGTTGAGCAACAGGAGCCAGGCACGGAGGCGTCAACATGATCATGCAAGCAACCAGGTGCTTTTTACCAACACTTCTAAGATTATTTTTGGTAGAGACTAGCGACCACACGAGGCGAAACAAAGTGCCTACCTAGACACGCGTTTGTTCAGCGTTGATAGGGCACTCTCTACTCGGTATTCCAAGCGAAAAAAAAAACGCAAGAAACTGCTACAGCAGTATTGATTCGCACTATTTATCGGACTCAACTTTTGCACCACCATAAATCGTCGTCTTCTCTTAGGTCCGCCTATTCGCCTGGAAAATGCCAAGAGAAAAGTCTACACGAACACAAACCCACCTTTTAGACCCCGCGCCCTCCTCTTGTTGCTCAGCAAGTACGCCCGCCTGTACTTGAGCTCCTGGATCTTCTTCATGGCGGCCACCACCTTCTTCTCGTTCTGCGACATGCTAGCGAAGGAGCCCTGGGTTCGCTCGTGGTCCCCCCCCCCGATGCTGCCGTCGGAATCATAGTTGGCTTCGTCTACTTGGCCGTTGCTCTTCACCGATTTCCTCCTACCCGTCGGCGTACTCTTGCATTTCTTTGCGGCACCCCTCCCCTCCCCTGGTGCACCCCCCGCCTTGCGCTTCCCCGGCACACCAACCGCCTTGCGCTGCTTCCCCGGTGCACCCCCCGCCTTGTGCCTCTTGCTGTCCCCTGGCTGCCTCTCGGTTGGTCGCTTCACCCCGACCTTACTCCCGATCTTCGCCTTGCTTTTCTTTCCCGCTGCAGCCTTTCCCTCCGCTTGCCGGCTGCTGCTGCTGCTGTTGTTGCTGTTGCTGCCGCTTGGTCTCATGCTGAACTCGGGATCGTCCACCTCTTCTCCGTCCACCTTTGCGGACCCTGGCGCTTTCTTCCCGGCCGTGGCGCTCGCCGACGGCACCGGCGCCGCCATTCCTAGCGCTTTCTCCTTTGCAACTCTGACGACATCGATGAAGGAAGTATGTACGTTGAGTCCAAGCTGCAGACGGTCGAAGTGGTTGTGCTGTTTATGGCCTGCCTCACCTACACCCTCGCGCGCTGCCCACGGATCGTCGTGTTTCCGATAGAGCAGATGCACCCAGCGATCCCCCTCCTCGTCCATTTTGTCTTTTTTCTCGAACAAGAACATGCCTGCCGTGAGGGCTGCTGAGTACGGCTGAACTGTGCCGTACGTGGGGCTTGGCTCCCACAACATGATGTTCACCCCGTACTCCGACGCCAGAAAAGAGAACCAGGTCACGTCAATCCATTTTGTTGTTGCACTTAGCTGGGCTTTCTCGCGAAACCAACCGACCGTCTTATCCTCCGGCGCCGTCATTTCTTCCACGGCAGCTCCTAAAACATCCGGTATACGCACACTCCGGGCCCGCCCAAGCTGGTCTGGTGAGAGTACAGCTGTCAAGTCCTCAACACCGGATGCGCCAAGAACATGTTCCGTGGCTCGACGGGCGACCACGCTCCTCATGTTCTCTGGGGTGGGGGCGGCCCTTGTTCTACCGAGGCAAACCTGCAGACCCGCGGACATCGCACTAAACCCGCAGTGGCCATCCGGCTTTACGGTATACACACCAGCGCGGTCGGGCAAGACCATAACCCTCCCACCTCTTGTCAATTCTGTGCTGCAAATGATGCGCGACGCAGATCCATCGATGTGCTGCTGTACCCGTTGGCCCAACGCAGCCGGCTGGGGAGCTAGCTCCTGTTCCTTGCGAACGTGATACACAGGAACCCCGTCCATAGCGCTCGTGCGAAAAATCGCAACAAGCAGGAGGAAAAACAGCATCATTATCGCGTTTCTGCGTGCTGGACTGAGGTCCACAGCAGCACAGCAGCAGCGCGGGATGCAGGGTGCTGCGGAGCATTGCAACTCCCAGGCTTTCAATTTTCTGTATAGGGGACGTGCTGTTTCTGTCCCCGGTCGTTACTTTGTTTCTTTTCGAGCGGTCTAGTCGTACCGTCGAGCCGTCGTCGACGCAGGTATCCACAGCTCAATTCGGTTCGAAAGTTGTCGCATATAAGAGTTATCGTGCCTGCTAACATGCCCGATTCGGGGGTGTAGTCACGTAAGGGTTAAGAAAAAAAATAAAAATAAGAAGTAATAAGTACAGCTGTCATATGGGTTGATTGGTTGATTGGGCATCCCGCAGGGGGTGGGGGATTTCAAATTTCAAATCACACCCCTGTTTGTTCTTGTAAGGTGTCTCAACCTGTCTTACACCTGTTGATAAGAAGTGTGAATCCAGCGTAAAAGTAGTCGTGCCCATGCCTACGCCATCGAGAAGGTGTATTTGCACTGCTGTGTAGGGACACCTCTTTGGCTGCAGCGAAGGTACAGCAGTGCTGACAGCGGCCTTCAAGGACATCGGGAACTCGGGGCCGCAGCACGACCATACAACGCATGCAGTAGCACACATTGATCCTGTGGAAGGAATCGCAAAAGTCTATGAGAACATCTCTACCCGAAGCAAACCAGATCGAACTCGCAACAGCCGAGCGCCTCGGGTGGCCGTGGCCTGTGTAGCGTGTCTTTTGAGAGCACATATGAGAAAAAAGTAACCACACTCACTTTTGATCCCACGATGTCGCCACAACGAGAGCACTGCGTACAAGTGGGATGCCCGCTGGAGTAAAGCTATGCGAGAGGTTCCTGCTGGCCGCGGCGGGGGGCTGTGCGGTACCTGTCTGGTGGTGTGTGTGGTTGGAAACACACACAGCACACACGCGCAACGGCGCGGCGATTGGGACGATTGCGACGATGGGGGCGACGCAAACAATAATACCCTTGGTCTGTTTATAGATAAAGAGGTATCAATAGGGAGGGGTGAGGGGTAGCATGGAGTCAGCGTTTTTCTGGAACGAAAAAGGAGCCAGCAGCCAGAAGGAGCCGCCGGAAGGAGCCAGAAGGAGTCAGAAGGAGCCAGCATGGTGGACGGTGGGTGGACCCACACCCACACACAACAATCATCACGTCTGCGCTACCGACTCTCGCCAGTTTTATTCCTTCCTCTGACACAAAGTGTTGCTCTTTCTCAAGGATGGTGCTGGAGAAGCTCGTGCATGCCGCCCCTACGAAGAGGGTCATCGCGATGGCCGTGGGGTAAGCCCACACCTTGTGAAATCTAGCGAGAAAAGTGAGATCCAAGCGCCACGCCGTATTCGTACAATGTCCATGGCTGGCTTCAGCGGCCTCAGTGGTTGAGATCGATATTGTATGTATGTCCATAGACTGCTGTAGGCGGGTGCGTGGTGGGTGACTGCGAGAAAAGAATGTGTGTGTGTGTCTACACAGCAGTATCATATCTCCGTGTGGGAGAATGTCAATCGCGGATCGTACCCAGTTTTTGTTGATGTGTCGAAAGTTATTTCCTGGTCCTCGTCTGTGTGTCGCACCATTAGTCTACAAAGCTTCGTACACCCTGATTTTGTTCTCTGGTGTTTGGTACGCGTTTTATGGGTTCCCAGACGAAAAAGCCTGCCGACGGCCGTGCAATCTCGAGGCACGATCAGCACTCTGACTGAGACCACAAGGCGTATACGTTTGCCGTGCTGTTTTTGTTGTGTCGCCTTTCGCGCCTTCTCGGTTTAGTTTCTCCATGTTACCCTCCCTGGCATTGTGCAAGAGCACCCAGGCATGCGAAGCTGGGAATACCCCACCACTTATTTTTTACCCACCACCACCTACCTAACCTAAACTTAGAAGAGCATGCGAATTAATTAAATCGAACGTTGACGTTGCTGATCCATCGATCTCACCATATGTCACTGACTGCCACCACCCCCTTGACCTTATACCTTCGTCTCGTTGTGCTTCGCAACACAGAGGCTACCTCACTACCGGCGCTGCGATCTTGTACCTGTCCCAGATTAATTCGAGTGAGTGTCATCGGCCAAACTCTTTATTGGACAGATCCGTCGCGAGTTGCGAAGGGGTGTGCAGGTGGCAGCTCAAATTCAATTAGTCTCCGCGAACACTGTTGTTTCTGTATACGGCTTTCAAATCCGACGAAAAAAGTATTACCACGCGGCTTTCACTCAAGGGAACAGATTATCTGCGCAATAATGCGAAGAAGGGGGGCGCCTCCAGATGCACCTCACGTCGGCTGGGCATCCATGCCTGTCGTTCGAGTGTGACCCACTTATTGTAGGCTGCTATTCCTACCCTTGCTCATCTGAAACCGTGCTCGCCGTCGCTCAAAATTCTGCTTCCCTGCTACCTCCTGTACAGGCATGCCTGACACAATGCGCGCCGAGTGGCACGCCGCCACGGAGGACTACCGCCGATACCAAAACGTGAGAACTCGGCTAAGCAAGCCCTGGTGGCGGGCTCGATCATATCCTGTTTTGTGTCAGAATGCGCGGCAGTTGAGGCCTGTTCCCGCGGACAGTACTATATATGGACTCGAATATTGGGTGTAGGACATGTCTTGTTCATTCCACCACCTTTACATTAGAGGACGTGAGAATTCGTTGTTTAGTTGGCCAAACTCTACAAGATATACATTGCGGCCCTTCCCCTCGCACAGGGCCAATTGACACTTTTCTTCAGGGGGGATAGTTTCGTCCTTCCGATGTTTGGTTCCAAGCTTGAATCCTGATCAAGGAAGGCCAGCTCTGTCGCGCCGAGTTAGAACATTTTAGTCTATGGGCGTAAAATCGTGTGCTCCGCTGCATAACGTCAATATTGGTGTTGTCCACTTAGAAACACAGTTTCGTAGACCCAGCGCAATAAGGACATGTTTGCGTCCCGGATGAGGTCCGGCCAAGAGACCCAAACGATGCTGCAGCCTCTCAAGGCCCACCAAAGCTTAAGCATCGACCGAGGAAGGCAGGCGCGTTGTACTGTACATAAGCGGTCAGTACTTGGGCAACAATTCTTAGCTGGAACTTTCGATACTTTCGAACGAAAGCTGGTGCACAACTCTATCGGCAGCTTTGCACATAAACGTGTTACCCATACCCATTGTGTCCGCAAACATCATCTTGGTCGTTCCGATCAACTACCCTGCGTGCTCGTTTGCAGATGGACCGCGTTCGTTCCTCCTGAACCCGGGAGAGTATGGCGCGGCCAACGGCAAGATCCTGAGCAATCACACTACTACCGCCATCGAACTATCTTACGTACCGTTGTACTTGACTGGTACTGCCGACTGTCTCGACTTCGGTGGAACAGTAATCGGGTGAATAGTCTAGGCTTCACATCGATGGAGGACCAGCTTGTATCAGGGAGGCAGGTCTATAGTTGCTTGGGGTGCCTCTACATTGTATGCTGTCGGTCTCGTATTTGCGGGGTTTCATGTTGATGCTGCTCGTCGGTATTGGATGGGTTTGTTTCGTAAGGTGTGATTTCTTGACTGTGTAAAGGTGTCCCGTTGTAATTGACATACCGGTACAGCAGTATTGTTGAGGCAGGTGCATGCACAAACTGTTTCGGAATGAAACAGTAGGTTGACAAGATTTCGTGCTGTGTACTTGCACTTGATTTTCTGGATGGCTGCCTTGTCTCACGCCGCAAGACTTGTCAGCTCCAGATCGTAGCCAACTATGTAGTCCCGTGAGTACAAGTTGACATGGCTCGTAGCTCTCGAGGCATAACTTTAGGTAGAATCAATAGTGTACTTACTCTCGAGTGGTGTTACCGCTGGGACGTGTCAGCTACGACCGTCTGTCAAGTGGAAAAACTTTCGGAGCCACGCCAACAGCACATTGGATTCCATCAACATGTACATCGTATCAATCCACGTGTTAGCACCAGCAGGTGCAAAACCTGTGTTGATCTGCAACGACATGTCTCAGGCTAATAGTGGCGCATCAATTTGTTGATTGGTCGGAAAGGCGACTGAGAACGGAACCGGTCCATGAAACATTTTTCTACTTACAATATGACGACGGGCCGGGCAGTAACCGGGATAGGTTGTAGACCACCGATCTCTATCATGACTGTCTCCCCATCTCGTACATTGTAGCGTTGCTCACACACCCCTTCTCTGGGATCCAACATACTCTTACGGCACCCCCTAGGTTCTTGGGGGATGCCACCCCCATCCTTCAACCCACAACGTTCTGATCTTGGAGCGAAACCGCGTGTGTGTTGGGAGTCGGGTTTTGTCCATTGGCGGGTTCACGTTGGCAAGTGCACATCGGTTTTTAGCACCTGTTCCTATGGTCATGTTCTTTCACTTTGCATTGTTGTATTTACTGGCGACAAGTTCTGGCAGTCACATTAACGTGATTGATTTCCGAAGAATATTCTTTCTCTATCCGTGAACTGCAGATAATCGAAATTGAAAAATTGGCATAATACGTCGAACAGAAATTGTGCGTGGCCGAAGAGCCTGGAGTATTGCACTCTGCGCGTTAGTGGACCTTGTGTCTCTCCCGTAGTGACGGTGACAGGTTCATTGTGCAGCGAAAGTGAGGAGGGAGTGTCACAAACCCTTTCTGCGGAATGTTCGATCGACCATTCATTGTCGGCAGCAAAACAAAAAAATCATCCCTCCTGAGTCGTTCAGGAGGACCACACGTGGTATACGCTTCGCCGGCCGCTTAATTATTTCGACCTGGATCATGACTCTCAGCGGCAGCAAGCTAAAACCCTTTATGAACAAATGGCATAAAAACCGGAGTTGCCTTAACAAAGAGGCAGATAGTGGCAGGACGAGGGGAGAATGGGAGCAAGAGGTGTCCATATAAAGGCGAAAGGAAGCCATGTGAAGAATGGGTATGTACTCCACCAACACAGTAGTCTAGGAGACACGACCGTGCTTCTTATGCAGTATATCGTATTCTCTCTACTGTAAGTTCTTGCTTTTCCAAGCAAAATATGCCATGTGCTGCGCACAGTTGTTCTGCCAGGCCCGCCTTGCACTTCAATACATCATATTTAACCAATGACCTTGCAAATTCCAAAAGTACACCATGAACATTCAACAGCTCACCCAGCGCTCGCGAAGCGAAGCCGCCTGCTAGGTTTGCCTTGCGAATTAAATCTATTTGATTTGCAATACACGAGCAAACTTGCGCGAAGCAGGATCGGATCGACTCGGAAGACATACAGAAGGAACAAACAAACATCCGCAGAGCTACCGACGCCAAAAACACGATGGTGTACACACCACAAATTTGTACTTCCCATGAAAATCGTGCATGCTTCCGTCAACGAAAAAGAACAACACAGCACCAAACGGGGGTAAGCATCTTGCGTTAACTCTACCGTTCCAGCCTTTCTATCGTTCCTCCCTTGTTCTAGCGGAACAGCCGTGATAAAGTATACACTGCCTCAGAGATCTCACCTTCCGGCGAAAAGGGGGAAATGGCAATGCGCCATGACGAAACGTTATCTTATCTCGCGGAAAACAGTTATTCCAGCCAGTAGTACGGGCAAAATGTAGGTTTGACCGGGTGAACAACCACCTACCGAGAAGGGAAACGGCCACAAATCTACGGGATTCACAAACATTTGACAGGCTACAGCCCGAACGTATTAATGCGGCTGAGTGCCGGCTTCCCATTGTGCCCAAATGGTATCGGTAGCGACGCCCGACGTCGAGATTCCGACGCTTCGACCGTGTCAGCAAAGATGACGGATTGCCGCCGCCGCCGCGCCTCCTGGTGAAGCGAACGAGGTGTCGAAGCCGATGAATAACATCATAATTGGGAGCGCGGTAAAAGAGAAGGCGCGGAAAGAAAGGAACAGTCAGGCGGCATCTTGCGAAACGTATCGCTCTGGCCCATCCTGCCCAACAAGCGATGGACAACTTGGAAGGCCAAGAAGAAAACCACTACCATAGTTGTAACGAAAAGATGGAGGTTCTCAAGCGGAGACCTGCGAGATGGTTCGTGCGCCAAAACGAGTACCCAGAAACCAGGACGGCCTTCTTCGCTTTGACGCCGTGAGGAACGGAGCACAAGACAGGTTGATGCCTACTCGAGTCCTAAGTCGTGCACGTTTCAAAGCGCCCAGGACTACTTTCCATAGAACAGGAATTGCGAAATGTTCCCAGCTATTCTCGTTATCAGGGAACACATAATCACGCTAGGACCACCCGGTGTTAGTGTACGCACTTCACTGCACTGATGATGAACCACGGCTTTAATTCCAACCGAATCTGCTCATGTGTACACCACGATCGACCCTGATCTTATTGCGACGTATGGTTCTCACTCGTTGCACCACCAAGTCCAAGCATTTGTCCTGATCCACCATCTCCTGCTCCGCCACCACGGTCGGGTCTGAGAATGCGTCGAACGGTGATGCCTGAGAAGGTCGGGTTTGATCCATTGAAAAGTTACCAACGTTTGTGTTGTATCGTACGCTTCTTCCGCGATGTCGGAAAAAACAGCGCATGGGCGCAATCGTTTCGGAAATGTGTACTTGTTCGAACGTCTGGCACGTAGAAGCCCAAAGGTGCATTGTTTGGGCGTGCACGACTCAACCGCCAATACAACGCTGGAACACCTACTGCCGTCGAACACATACGTCGGTTTGATCGTTCCTGGGTACTGTTGGTAAAAATGTGAGCACCGCGTTTCTGACTAATGGCGCAGCGTGAGTGCGCCCCCGAAGATGTTGTCTTACGGGGGTAAACCTATCGTCTCGTGCCAAGCTGCGGCAAAAGGATGCATGTTGCACCTACCTCTCCGCTAACGTGTCCCCGCCAGAAAAAAAGAAGCAGCTGAAAATGTGGTTGAAACGCCGTGCTCCCCTAGAGGGGTAACCTTTGCAAATAAGAACCTTTACACACCATCCGCAGCGACCTCACCCCAATCACCCTCACCATGAACGTATTGTTAATTTAATATTGAGTGCACATGGTCAACGAAATGTGTTAGTTGGATAGAAGAATATTGCTTCCTTGTCGCCGAGCTACTGAAATCATCGGTACCAAAGACGGTTGCTGCTATTATCCAACAGACAAGCAAAGCGTTTTCTCGTGTGCTAGGGGTAGACGGATAGTGGGTCACAACTGCCCGTTCCAAGAGGGTTTGTCCGTGAGATCCCCCCCCCTCTACCCGTTTGTTCACATCTTGGGGAACATTTTCAATAAACGACAGACTGTGGCACAAACGCCTGACGATGGCTTGAAAATCTTGGAGTGTTCACACGTGGCGCTTGCCACTGTCTCAATACGATACTATCAACTGTTTACGGGAACATCTCTTGGAAATTTGCCACCTCGTAAAATGATGGAAAGGAACACCGTTTTCGATTCAAGTCTGGCTCGATAGTGCTCAGTCCAACTCCCATGATTCCACCCAGATTACCTTCCCAGGGTACATAGTGTTGAGGAAGCGGTAGACACCGTGGTGCCCGTGCACTTGAGCTAGGTGAACAGCCGTTGACGTGCAGGTCGCTCCTATGTCGTGAAGCAGCTTCACCACCTCCAGGTGCCCGTTTCGAGCAGCGCGCTCCATCGCTTCCCTTGAGCATCCCTCCAACCTGTCGGCACAAGGTGCAGGTGCAAATTAGCCCACTCGCGTTTCCCTTGAAAGCAGTGTAAAGCAGTGTTATAGACCATACCGGTACCCATGAAAACCCACGCTGGCTACGTATGCGGAGCTGGGCGTTGGCGATAGCAGGAGTGTACAGCATGCCTGCCTGTCTGCGGTACGCTTGGAAGTGAGCCTAGATTTGTTGTCTTTGGTGTCAAGAATCCCTCCAGAGCTGAAGGATGCGATGAAATATGCTTGGCCTACCCGCTGCTTGCGAGGGCTGTAGGTGTCACAAACAAAAAGCGCCCTTCGGCGTTAATGTGGGGACGCGTATACAAGGTTACAGAACAACGGGAGTATAGATATTGTTGTAGAATATTGTGCCCAACCGCATGGAGTAACGCGATGGGCGGTGATCATAGACTTTTGCCGAGAAGATCCCGTATCAAGTCTTGTAGCACGATGTAGAACTTGAGTGGCACACGCCCTGCCAACACCACGCAGTTCGGAGCTTCATGGCATTTAGCATTCGCTGTCGAAACTCGTAGCCCATAAGCTTCTCCTATCATTACGTTTGCGGTCGTAAAGATATACGACGATGAACGCAGATACTCAGGCCGCAGGTTAGAGCATCGTTGAATAGGTATTCGGGGTTGTCTTCAAAGTGGTCGCACCTGTTGTCATAAAGCCAGCGAACCATCTCAACGTGCCCGTTTGCAGCGGCATCATCCTGCCATGTTGTCATCGATAAAACAATATCCGAAGAAGAGTTGTCTGTGTTCAAAGTACACTCTTCTTTTTTGTTATTGTACCACGCACGTTTTGCGAGCTGATGTAGCATGATGCCAAGCCAGGGGCAGGTTCCAGTGAGTATAAGGACTGCATTTTGCACAACCTTAGCCTTTCATTTGTCTAGGCGATTTCAGAGCGGCGTTGGGGACGCGATATCGAACAATTTTCACTTTCGGCGAACATCCTCGAACCGCGAAGTTGGTTTCAACGAGATTAGAAGATTAAGGAAATCCTGATTTTGTGTAGCGAGTTACCACCGCAGCGCCGTATCTCGTCGACGGCGGTGTGATGAGTTATTTCTCTAATCTGATTGTGAATGTTCTGAGGCTCCCGGTCCGGCCAACCCACTACGATCATATAGTTCTCCTTTTCGTGGAAACAGGTTCTGAAGAATAATATTAGTAAAATCTTGTGTTTTGTTCCATAGTACTACAATAAACTGCAATGACGCTCCGGCGCTCTCACCATTGCCCGGCGACCGCACCCCTCGGGTCGTTTTCGGTGAAGCCACTCGACTGTCTCCATGTGACCGTTGCCCGCAGCATCAGTCAAGGCGAAGCGCGTGCACCCTTCTCTTCTGTTTTCGTGCAACCACTTGACCGTCTCCAGGTGCCCGCCAGCTGCCGCGTGGTCTGACGTGTCACGTCGGGAAAACCTCGATAAAGGATGTGGATACGGTGTGTGGTAGCCTATATCGAGAGAACGTCATAACTACTGTAGCCTTCTCAAACAGACGGTCCTCTGAGAACCAACTGAGTCACAGTTGAGCACATTTCATGGGTGTAGACCACTTGTATTGCTTTGCAACACACGAGGACTCGATGGTCGTGGTGCATCTCAAACGAAGGTCGCCGATTGTCGATGTTGGGATTCAAGAACCTTTGTATCGTGATGCATCATACCTCTATGAGCAACAATGTTCACGCACGCAGTCTACTCAAGATGACGCTGGAGTCGCTCGTGCTTTCCGGCGGCGAAACATACTGACGTCCCACCCCATGTAACTCAAGCCGGTGACACTTCCATGCTGCAATAGGTTGAGTAATGGCTGCCGACACGCTAATCTACATTAAGGTTAGGCGTTTCCGGAATGGACACGATCTGAGCGAAGCCAGCTATGCGTATACTTGACATTATATTCCATGCTGATCTGTAGAAATGTCAGTCGCCACAATATCGTGACATTCCTGCCGTAGTCTATACCTCACCCATTGCGTCTTTCGTGCACCCTTCTTCGCGATTCTCGGAGAGCCACTTGACTGTCTCCGTTTTTCCGAACGCCGCAGCCCAGTCCATGGCGTTGGTCGTACACTCATGGCCCTGGGAAACAGCAGTGTAGCATCCTCTAAGCTCTTTGGACGAAAAAACAATTATGTCGTCTACAATATGGTGGGGTGCGACGATGTATTCGCGGCCACAACTGCGCGAAGGATAGTGGCATGCCTGTCACGGTAGAGCAGAACTTTTATTGTTAATCTCCAAGCATGGATACCTTGAGAACATCGGCGTCACCCATGTCGGACTTGGCTTTACGCGTCAGAGGCTATACCTACGACCAAATATCGAATGTGAACTCTTGACAGAGTCATACTTGCGGCTTTTCGTCAAGTATCCGCTTGTAGAACCCGCTGCTGAGCTTAAAGATCATTCGAGTCGACATTCCCCCAACAGTGTCCTTCAAGCTGTACACTAGCGGCAACTACACGGTGATTACAGCACGTCATTTTTCGCTTGATGCTGCAAACTCTTCGACAAGAAACATACGGCAACACCTTCAAACAACCAGACTCACACAGCCTTGTTTCTCGGCGCACGGCGCTCTGATCAAAACCACGATCAAGACCTGCGAATAGTCCAATCAGTGGGGAGATCAGGCGAAACGAGGCTACCACTCTGCAACCAGATGTTTGTCGCACTCTACGACCTTCCCTCCTGTCACCATACCGGATTGGACAAGATCCATCCCCAGAGATCGGTTGGACGGGTCGCACCAAAGAGGAATGACGTCATGAAGTGGAGCAAGGGTCCCCAATATTCCGTAGGCGGTATGTTCTATGACACCTCACCTGGTCGTGCAGTAGTTGGAGCACATCAATGTGTCCTCCCTGTGCTGCCTTATCCATGGCGAACTTGGAACAGCTAAAGCCGAAGTGCCCATTGCCATGGGCAATGCTGAGGGTGGGGCTGTCCAGGCCGAGCCCTAGACTGTCAAGTGAATTGATGCTGGTGACGCTCGTATTTGAGCCCCGCGTTTTCAGAGCAACACCTTCACTGCCGCTGTCCTTCCTCGGTGCCAACAAAAGGGCAACCATCTACGTAATTTAGGCGCGAGGACGTGGGAGGACGGGGGGTAACATGATTGGAGGGCAGACGCAGTGAGATTCACACGAGCAGATGGTCGAGCCGTTTCGGGTCTTGAAATCGGCAACCATGTCAACCGCTGTTGGTGCGACATTGTTGTAGACAGACACTTGAAGATACCGAGTGCAGAATCAGAAACTTTACTACAACTTGCATCACATCTTGATGTCTCTCGACAATTCAGTATCCCTCAGTTGTCTCAGTTCATGAAAATACTGAACGTCCAATGTGTTCCTATTAGCATACCGACGTGACTTTGGTATTCCCACCAGTTTAATTTTGTCATCATGAGAATACCTTACACGGCCATATGCCGGTGTTTGCTTGCCTTTGTGTGCCCCCTACTCACTGCCCATTGCAGGGCGCTCTCGGTGCCTCCCTCGCTACGGTTTTCGGTGAGCCACATGATGACGTGCACATGGTTGTTCATCGCGGCGCGATCGAAAGCGGCAGTCGTGCAGCCTTCGCGCCTGCAAGACGACAAGTCACATAGCCTGTCGGGCAACGTCTGTTCTGCATACGGCGTATCAGCCTCGAAGCATGGACAAGGTTTCGCGCAGGAAGCCAAATATTTTGCATGCATGGGCGACTCGCCTGCGTCATGTCGTACCACACGTACGTTTCCTGCTGCATCGAGAAGTAATGGCTTTATCATGACCGTCGGTCACTACACTCCTACAGCGTTCTTGGTCCAACCCTTGAGGACTTGCATAAATAAGATATCCACCTCCTAGAGCCAAGCGTAGGTGTACTTGCCTGTTGTGGTGCAGAAATTGTGCCACCGATAAATGGCCGTTCTCCGCGGCCCAATTCATGGCCGAGACCGTGCATCCTTCACGCCTGTTGCCATGCAGCCACTGCACCACTGGCAAAAAACCGTTCGCAGCAGCATAATCCTATGCGACAACAACAGGAGTAGTGGTAGCAGCAGCAGCAACACCAGTGCCAGCTCCATACAGTGCCAATACCAGGTCATTCTATCAAGTTGAGCGAAGAAATGCAAGTATGAGCCAGATCACTTGTGAGTCCTCCAAACGTGTTGTACTGTCACATAGCAAAAAATGTCTCGTCATTCCCAGGTCCTGCAGAATGAGAGGACGCATCAAGTGCTTGATAACGTTTGTGTGTTAAGCTCAAGCATTGCCAACTGGATAGTCAAGCGAAAGACAAACAAGGCAATATCTCGTTTCGCACCATCGCTGCCTTGGTTGCCCCAGCACTTGTGTTTCGATGAAGCCAGACGACAACCTCTAAATGCCCCTCCTTTGCAGCACCATCAATAGCTTCCTGCGGTTTCAAAGGAAGTGGTCGATTATTCTGCGATACCAACCGCACCCGAGTGGAAACGAGTGCTGATCTATGTAGGGCCAAACACACGCTTTTCCTACTGAGGAAGCAGGTGGCAAGGGTAACATGGCTGGTCGCAACGTTTTACACCAAAGTCCTTGGTTCAAGTACTATTGTGAGGTCTCCGTGATTTTGGCGAAAAATGGCAGGTCTTGTACTTACCGTTGTGCATTTCTGGCCCTGTTGACAAAGAAACTTGACGACGTCGAGATGACCTCCTCTTGCTGCACGATCCATCGCATCCACAGAGTAGCGGAATCCCTATTGCCATCCATAAAATCAAGTGTGACAGGATCGAGCTCAAGCACCAACCCCAAACACTGTGGATCTCACTGGTATCGTCACCAACTTTACTCTCGAGCAATATGTTTGATGACCCCCTGCCGAGGGCTAGCTTTTAATCCCACACCGTGAGACCTAGATGCGTGCTTATGGGGTGGGTCTGTGGGGTTTTCGATTCCACCGGACGTACGTACGCTGTAGGCTTCGCTTCATTCTTACGTAGTTCCAGTTTCGCAAGTGCGGGCGTCACGGCACTCGCCAACGATCTACTTGACTAAGTTGGAAAATCAAAAGATTAATGTGAAGCTAAGATGATGAACCCATCTCTTACGTGTGGTCTGTCTGGCCCGGCCCCTCGCTTACGACGACGACTTCAGACATTCGTACGGAATAGGGACGCTACGATGTTGGCCCTCAGAGCACCGGGGAGATTAAACCTAAGATATTTCAACATCACGGAAGCGTGGCACTACTGAAGGGCAACCAACGATATGTTTGAGTGAACGGGTACGAAGTCTCTCGATGTAGACTATCTATGTACCGTGGAGAAAATCACCGGGCGATTTTGCTCCGTGACACCTTGAGATTCCTACTCGTAAAGAGGATCTGGCCACTCTTTACCCCTTTGATGGTTTTCATTAGCTGGAGATGTCCCAATTCTGCGGCCAAGTTGGCATCCTCAGGAAACCACAGCGCCGGGGCGCCACCATCTTGATAGGAAAAGATGAGCTTCCTGCACGCACACAACAGCAGAGCATGCAAGTTGTGTAGTTGTTCGGAGACAACCCTGTTCCAAGACAATCTATAAACAAATTCATCTACAGGATACTTTTCCCTATGGATTTGCTTGTACTCTCAGAGTGAGCAACGGCATCACGTTGGCTTATCAGGCTTGTTCAGTACCCCATGCTGCAAGATACACCGTCTGCCCACTGATGGGAACAGCGTGAGAGTGAGTCGCTCACCGGACTTTTTCGATCGCGAAGCCGTGATCTGTTTCTTTCACATCAAGTTGCAGCTGTGGCCTCCGTTTCAACCGAGCGCGGAGGCGGTAGAGTAGCTTCAAACCCCCCATAGGCGAGGGTGTGGGGGTGGTTTGGGCTCTCTGGGCGCGGATGTTCTATCTTAGCGGTTCGCTGTACTGACGCATATGCTTCAACCCAAGACTTGGTATCCGCCGCTCGGTTGACGAAAGGTCACTTGGGCCAAAGAGTGAACCGTCCTTCACTGGTTCGGAAATTTATTTCGTGCGTTCAAGAAATTTCCCAGGGCTCCTGCGAGGCCGGAACAAGACATCTACACAAAGCATGGCGACTTTGGGCTCCCGCGCGGCCGACCGACCACTCGATAAATCACAACGTGACATTTGACTGTCTCGTTCTTGAGATATGTACGACGAAACACTACTACAGTACGAAGTATCATTGTAAACGAAATCAGAATTCAGTCTCGATCTCTCGACGCCTGGTGGGAAACAGTCTAGCCGTAGATGTGATCCTGTACATCGTGTACATGCATGATGAGTCAGGGACCTCTGCCCATCTCTCGCTTTCTGTGATGATTCGCATCATCGGCGCAGAAGAGCGTCTTCACGTGTGAAGGTAGGCACGCATGATGTGAGAGGTGAGAGAGGGCTCGGCTGGGGCACCAGACGGCAAAATAGCTGTGTACATAGTCTAATAGGCCACATCTTGTTATCTCATGACTGCTGATGATTTTGGCCGCATCTTCCGGGGGCACCGTCGATGCTTCGAAAACACTCTCTCTTACCAACTCTCGCAGGCGGGCACTTTTCTCCGCACGTCCGCACCCTCCACCTCCACTGCTCCTCTGGTGCCCGCCGGCAAAGCTCAACCAGCCCCCGATCCAGGCCGATCTGCTTTCTACAGTAGAGGGAATCCACGTGTTGTTGAAATGACGTGAAATATTGACATTTCAGGAAGTTTTGACGTGACGAGGTTACGCCGCTTTTTTGGAGGCAAACTCTGACGGCGAAATTTTTGTGAAAAAGCGTCAAAACTTAAACCGACACGAAAAGATTGACACTTCAAATATCGCCAGACTGTGGCTCACACACGCTTGCTCTGTGCTCTGTTACCATCACCAAATCACGAAAGGAGCGCGGTCAGCAGCGAACACATTGGCCATGCCTACTGATTGCTCCTAGCGGTCCTGCACACACACGTCTCGGCAGTTCTCACGGCGGCCCAGTGGCCGGACTCGCGTGTTCGGCGCGCGCGTTCGGTAGATGAGCCATCGCGATTGCGCACGGGCTTTCAGCAGCAAAAAGGGGCATAGGCAGTACTCGGGGGAGTCCCGCCCTCGGAGGGAGCACATATAGAGGATTAAGGGAGGGTACACGGACTTGGCCAGGTGCATTTCGGTGCTCTGCTGCCGCAGTGACATCGGTACACAGCAGTACAGCGAGCAGCTGCCTCACTCATCAGCAACGGTAGTTTGACGCCTGGGAAGTCGCCGCGGCGAAAGAGAGAAGGTCGGCGGGATGAGGCGGAGGGGTACACCTAGTCTCCTGGGAGCCTGGAAGTATGAGTCTTCGTTACAGCATGTCGACCCTGGGTGGCAGCCCGAACCAACCCGGGGTCGTGAACATGACCGGGGTTAACGCGTCAACTCTACTCCACCATTTTTTTTTTCCTCCCACGTGCCGACGGGCACACGCGGTGCGAATTTTTTCCCGTCAAAACGTCAAAACCCTCAACCGTTACTTGATGTTGGCGTCAATCCTCAAAGGTCAAAATTCAGCGTCAATCCATAGTGGATACCCTATGGTATCCCATCGCCATTTGCCCCTGGACTCAACGCACCGGAACACACTCAGTCCACGACCTGTAGGCGACACGGCACACTGTTACCGTTCGTGCCACAACGTTGAGTGAAGCTCATCGCTTTCAGCCGCTCTGAGAGAATACCTCACTCCGTCTTTTTGATGCGTGGTGCCTGCCTTCATTTTCGTCGGGAGAGACTATTACAATATTGGGGCATACTTCCATCCGAGTTGGGTTCAGAGTGGCTTGGAAATGGCGTATGATAGAACCCTCCCTTTGGTGATATAATCAGTGTCGGCATCATGATCTACTCACACTTGGTCGCATCCATATCCCTCATGTGATCAATCAACTCCAGACATACATGTAACCTGCCGTGGTATCTTGCCGCCCGTCACAACTATATTTCCTCTGCAGTACAAGTACGGTCCCGCGTAAGATGCATCGAAGGCGCTGGTGCGTTTGGTGTGCTATCGCGTTCTCGTAGAACGAAACACGCACGGGCAGGATGGTGGATCGAGCGGCGCTGGACAAAAAATGTTCTTCATGTTCAATCGTCAACGAGTGGTCGTCAAATTCGTCTCAGCTCTTTTTTTACATAATCCTCGCAAACTCCAACATGTACATGTATGCAGTGCTGCCTGCGTTGGAACAAGGGTATACACCTCAACAACACAAACCCCGCCAGTCGTGATAACAACCCCGGTCATTTAATACCCACCGTATTTAGCCCCCATATGCACACTGGCGTTTTAGTGTTGCGCACAATATCGTTTGTGTGCGTGACTATTACATCGTCTCTCCGGCACTTATGTGCTGTTGGTGTTATTCGTTGGAAGTCTCACATGACACCGTCGCAAAACCCAAACTCAGAACCCTGCACGACACGTTGTGGCAACCCTGCTTGGAATCGAATCACCAGTTGCGCGATTTCCGGCACCGAAAAGAGAGCGGTTCCCTCACCACAGAACTCTAGCCAAAATGGGGGACAGGTTCAAACAACCTGGACCGACAAGAAAACTCGGAAGATCCCCTTCCTATCGTGATCCCATCCCCGGGGATGGCATTTAGATACAAGAAACCAATATCCCCCGCACGCAGAGGATACAAACATTAAGACCCCTTGCATCGTTTCAATTACAAAACAGTGGCGTCTACATGCACGTCGATTTCCAAATCCAACTTTCCAATCGAATACTGCGCAGGTGCCCCCTTGTATCACCAATTTCAATGGCACGACACTGAAGTGCACAGCCTACCTAAAAAAAGTGAGGCGTTGTACGTGGCGTGTCGGTGCCATGGTTGTTGAAAATCGAAACTAACTCGGCACTAGTCGTGAATGCTGGCGCCACCATCTTCATAGGGATGAAATCATGTCGCCTGTTCTTCGACACTTCCCTCCTTCCCTCTATCCGCAGCCAGAACGTCCGGCAGCCACGAAATGACTTTGACGAGGAGGTCTTTGCTCGAGTCACACCCTGCCGTCATTTCTCGCATGACGTCACCCTTGTGTGCCTTCCTTTCTCGCTTCAGTTCCCTCACCTCGTGTTCTCTGTCGGTGCGGCCCCCGCCTTTGCGGGGATTTCGTTCCTTAACCGAGCCTTCCCGCTGTACTGTTGCCTTATGCTCCGATAAATGAGGCGTCGTGGCGATTGATTCACTTTCCATGGCGCGACACCTTGCCAAGTCTTCGGCCTTCAAGGCGACAAGCTTCTCGATGAGCCCGTCCGTGAATATCCACGAGTAGCTTTTGAAGCGACGCGAGAGAGCCTTCTTCTGAGGGCCGTCGCCCAACGACTATGAAGGACACAACAGGGAAGCATGGTTTCAGAAAAGCGTCGAGAGCAAACCAGCAGGGGGGGTGTTCAGAAACGTTTTCAAGCAAGAATGGACACATCCAACCCACTATGGGCCAATGTTGGTGTCGCTACCGAAGGACGCCATCAGCGTTCCTTCCGAAAGAAGAGGGAAAAATGGAGTACTATCAAGCCGAGCACAGCAATACTCAGTCCGCCATCGTGCGAGCGACCTCCGTGATGGAAATCAGAAACCTAGTAACCCGCGGCATCGCACCTTGGAGAAATCAAGACCAGTCTTCTTCAAAGCCCTTAACATCCTCATCTGACAGGAAACGTAGAGGATGGGTGGTGTCGACAGGGGCTTGATCCTTCGGAGCATGTCCGACACGGCCACTTCCGAACACCTGCCATTTCCGATCAACACGGACGCGAGGTATCCAAAACAATACCGGTCAGGCTGGGGTACCCAAGAACAAGTGTAACGGTTTCGACCTCTTACGAAAAGACGTCAGTGTTTCTCGGAATGGGTGTAAGCGTTACAACCTTAACTTCATTAGTCGTCCGCGATGTTGTAGTTTGAAAATATATTGTCTACTTCCTACCCTTGGCTAAGCGGAAACCTGTGCAAGCGTGTAGGGCTGCAGGTGTAACGAGTAGGGGCTGTTGCCGTGATATCCCAGTCGGCGGCTCTCTTCTAGTCTGAACGATGACCAGTTATTACCCGGAGAGATATTTTCGGAGAGTTCCGTCCGATAGCCGTCGGCGATGAACATGAGCAAACAAAGATCGGGGAAAATCGACGACGGCGAGTGTGGCGTACACCATGCCTCTGCGGTCGTAGCGTGTTGGGCGGCCACTCACTTGAGTCTCGCACGTACTGCGGGCCAAGAGTCGCATGCCAACTGGAACGCTATTTCGGACGAGAATTGGCATGAACACTTTTCCAAAGAGGGGATGGAAGCACAACACAAACGCAGTACTGCGGTACCTTGCGCTTCTACATGAACATGCCCTCACTTTCGCAAGGTGATGGAAGCCTCATCTCGCACCACGGCCTTCACCGAACAGTACTCTAGACTGGCGGTCTTCAGGATTGCGTCGCCGAGTTCAACGGCCCCTTGTCCGAGGAGGCACCGGCCGACGTGCATAGCTACCACTCCTAGATCCATCCCGAAGAAGCGTTCCCTCCTGGTGAATCGGGCAGAAGAGTACCCTATGTTTTTATTGTTCCAAGGTCTTGCTTCGCACTATGTAGTCGATAAATCGCAGTTCAGGCGTCAGACACATGTTGTACTGTGAGAAAAGCATCAGAGTGCAGAAACCGCGCTCGAGCCGCCTGCCCAGCGCACCGCCACCTGAAACCAGTCACGGAAGATACCAAGAGCATTGTCTACGTCTCTCTCATGTGGTATGCCGACATGATTCCTTGGCAGCAACTAGTACACACTACACGACAACGATCCCCCCCAGCGCCAAGCTTTCAAGGTGCCTCCCTTCAGGGGTTTTCCTCACCGTGCCTCCCAAGCTCGCCATCCGGGGGTGTCTCTTCGACCGCGTCTTCGTTGCCTCCGCAATTGCGATTCTGCACCGTGCGATGGTGCCCTAACTTCGTTCAAGCCGGTGCCTCGTCCTGCCTGCGTCTCTTGCCCACGAGCCTCGGGTATACTCGCTGTTCTGCTGCCCTTGCTTGGTTCGCTTGGATCGTTGCCAGATACGACAGCAACGGCCCGTTTCACGATGGGAACAGGAGTGTTGGTCGGGTGGCTGGTGGAGGCGCCGAAGGACTTCCTTTTGTATCTGACCCCAGCAGTGCCGAAAACACTCTTCGCGGCATCGACGATCGATAGAACCAGCATGAGGTTGGTTGGCCGCTTCGCAAAAGCCTGGAGGAGATAACAGAGGGGGGTGTGGAGGGTTTTGTGTGCAAGACGGTATAATCGTAGAGGGAGAGTAACGCGTCTGCTATTTCTCGGCATTGCACGGTCTAAGCAAGCACATCATCGCAGTGGTTGGTTGTTGAGCGGTTTCAGCGACCGAGGCACCCTGAAAAGAACAATAACTACCTCGCTCGTGTCCGCTTCACACATTGTTGCAGTTCAAGCTTGCACTTTGCGCGCCTCATGAGCTTCCCAACAAACAAACTTATTTGAGAGCTGCACTATCCATAACTCACCCGGGCGGCAGTAACACGATCGGATACCCAGCTTTCCGGCAGGAAAACCTTCGCAAGAGGGATTTTATCCACTATCTCGGAGTTCAAAAACTTGGCGAGTTCCTCCAGCGCTTGATCCTGCACCAAAACAAATTGGATTGGATCGAATATTCAATAACCGAAACATATCCGGCCCTGTGTCTGACGGTTTCAGAATACGACAGGGCAAGCACTGTACCCGGCATGGAATACCACGCTTGAGTTGACCAACTGCTGATACTCCTCCCCCATTGCCCGTTGGCGACCTACTAGCACGGGCCTTCTCAGAACCGTACCTCTAGGCCCTGGTAGAACTTGTCCTTCTCCCCACCTACAAGCCCTTCCGATAACTGCGTCAGTTTGTCAGGGGACGTTGAGCGGATTGCAGCGGACACGAGACTCGTATTAGCAAGCAATGGCGAGGGGAAATCGCGGGTCAAGTGGATGTCACACTCCGTTTGCGAGAGGTTGAACGCCTTTGCGAACTCACACCCACACCAACCCACTGACCTCTTCTGTGTTAGGGATGCTAAATATGTCCCGTGCACCTCCAGCCTTTCCACGCGTAGCAGCCGCTGCTGGTGCACTCAATAGAGAGGTATTCCCGGCATTCCCATCCCCGCTCTCACTCCCGATGTCCACCTCAGACCATCGAGCGCTATCGGCACTTTCGCTTCTTTCTAGCGTCTTCGAGCTGCCAGCTTTCGTGATCTTTCGCTTGTCCGGGTAAATCTTCTTAGATCCTCCAGGCTTGCCGCTCCCCGGTGGCGTCCCAGTAGCTCCGGGCGGGTTGGGTATGCCTCTAGAGCTGGAATCCTCTGCGCTTCTGCTGCTACCCCAGGCCATCTTGACGAGACCTTGCATGAGCTCCATCCTCAACGTGCCCGTCGGTGTGCTGCCGGACCTCTCCAACGCCCCCGCCAACAATGAGAACGCCTTCGGACCGCGAAAGAACGCAGGCAAAACAGGCAGGGGGTGGGCTTTCTCCATGTTGTGGCGCAGGTGTTTCATGCTGGTAACCTTGGATTGCAATTACTATTTACGTGCTTCTTGTATAGCATCGCCGTACAACGATTCCTGCTACACGCGCACTCCCCAGTAGGTGAAGAGTCCTAAGGATACTGTCTCAGACAGAGTGTACCATTTCTCACAAACAAATCACCATCACCCGATGAGAGCTAATCGGATGAGACTTGTAGGCATGCCCTAAGCAAAGTACATGCGATGTGCTTAAGCCTCAATGTTTCCACACGCATAATGTATGACCAATCGTAAACGTGTGTTGCTTGAAAACAATGCCAAGATGGCCAGAACGGTGATTGTTCCGCGGCAGAGGTAACACGAGTCAAGGTTTTACAACTGCGGCGATGACATCGAAAGCAGGAAGTTGGCGCCCTGGACCAAAGTCATTGTGGCAGGGGCTTTCGGGGTGGCGGGGCTAACCCGAACATTATGAAAGATGTTTCTCGACACCAAAGGGCTGCTCGTTTAGTATCTTCAGTTTATTTTCAAGCGCTGTTTAGTGGTTCTTCCTGCCGTGAAACTTTTCTTAGCTCGGCCGGCGTGTCTGAGCGATGGGATCTACTTTGGTCTTTTTGTCCTTTTGACCTTCAGCAGTACCTCTGCTAACGTTTTTCTGCGTTGTAATATTGTTCGGTGTGTTTCAAAGTACCTTTGCCTGCTTGACAAGGGCCCCTCACGTGGACTAACCGGCAACCACGGGAATTTGATGATCGCCGGGGCTAGTACGGAATAGGAGGCATTGGATGGAAGGCAGGTCGATGGACAAGCTTAACGTCAGGACAACAACTACCGCCAAACTTTCTACAACAAGACCCACACCAACACTTTCACATGAAGCAACAGGCATTGTGAGCGTGCGCACGCTGCAGTTGCGTGCTGGTGACTCACTTCAGGGTGTTCCATGTCACGTCCGGCAGAGCTGAGATTCGCGCTTGGGCGAACCAGCTGCAGAATGAACTGCCACAGCTTGGCAGATTGACAGAACCGACTGAGAGCAACAATTACGGCAAATCATGGGGGCATGGGTACATGAGGGGATCAAGGACATCTTTGTGGGTCACTTCTGCAATGCTAGTAAGGTGTTCGTGGTACAGCAGTGCCGCATGGCACACCAGGGTGCGCAAGAAGACCTGGCAAAAATTCTACCAAAAACAACACTGCTATTGTCCAACGCATCTAAATCGTCACGGACATACAACCCTCTCCGACCTGAGTACATTTGGTAGGCCATTCTAGAGATGCAGGTGCCATCCTACCGCTCACCTGACGACTTGTTGTGTCAGCATTTGGCACAACATGGGCTCCAAAACCCCACTCTTCAGCTGGGCCAAGCGGTTAGCGGTCTCCATGAAAGATCGAGAAGAGTCAGCACCCGCCCCTCTCGTACCGCCACTCGCTGCTCGAAGCTCTTCCGCGTCTTCAGGTAGCGCAGTTTCGAGAATATCTCGAGAAATTTCTTTGAGAAATAAGTGGGTGCCTTCGTCCAGCTTAGACCTGACGCCTCAACATGTGAGCGCAGAAAACGCGGACAGGGGTTGAAAATATTCAAACCGCTGCTGTGTCATTTTCGATAGTCGGAGGTGTGGCAACACACTCTTGGTATAAGAAAGACATGAACTTCGATCGGCAGCGGTTTATAGTAGGTCGGAAGTCATGGACTTGAAGGTGAAGGTGCTTCACGTGTTTGGCACCTCCATCTTGAAAGTAGCTACGTCATGCACGCTGAAAGAGGCAATACATTGTTGGTCGTGGAGTTTCCGAGGGCATCTACCCCACATCTGCATCAGGCCAGTGGAAACTGGCCCCTGTGTCTCGACGAGGACATGGGTGAAGTACTGTTTGCACTCACAGAAACTCCTCGGTCCCATCGAGTCCGTCGAAAACAGGATCGTTCGGATCGGGCATTTGCGGTGGCCAGAAGCCACCAGAGCATGTCCACTGTCGCCACAGATGTACGGCCTGCATGCATCCGTTTAGCGCCAAAAATCCAACAGCAAGGGCGTACCACGTCTGTAATCGGGTGGAAAACAACTGCATTGTACATATATGCCAAAAATTAGGGCATTGGCGGACTGCTTCATGCCGACAGCTACCATCCATGCTGTCACGAACGTGTGCCGAGCGTGCCGCGAAACAAAGCTTGATGTCCGTAGCTGCGCAACAGAGCATTGACAAAAGGTCTGACAGAGGTAGAGACTTCAAGCAGACAGACCTCCTAACCTCTACATCTCCTTGGAAGCCTTCGTCTAGAGTTTTAAGTGCATGCTCAAAACCAGACCAGCAAAACAGGCCCAAAGTTCATCCCCTAGCTCACCTGCACGTCGTGTTCCTCCGTCTCTTCGCCGTCTCCCGTCGCTGCCGGACCCTCCCCTACGCTCTCCGCAACGTTTTCGTCCCATTGGCTCTTGATATTCTCGGAGCTCTTCCTCGTTCGGCCAGCTCTAATCCCTAGTGCCAAGGTGGTGGCATCATGTGCCTGGACGTGCTGTCGAAGCCTACGCGCAAACGCGTAAGCGGCATCCTTGGGAGACATTACTGAGACGAGCGCACCAATGCGTCTGTCGACGAACACCACCATGGAGTCCACGAAAGACTGGAGCAGTAAGGTCCAGCACGTTCAAGAACAGGGAAAAAAGATATAATATTTCAGATGTGGGGGTTAAACGTATGGCGGCTTCGCGGCACAACAGAGCAGTGTTCATCGGGACTGAATGCGTGAACGGTATACGCAAAGTAACACAAGTGTTTCCAATGCACGCCCCAAGACTAGTTAGTGTGAATCATGTCACAGGCAGCAGTTCGTTGCTATATGTAGGACTCCACGCGCCAAACTCTCCATCTCACATCAACCATGCCGCTCTTCCTCAATAGCCCGCTCATTAGCCACTTCCCGACCCCCTTGTCCGCTCCCAACAGCTTCACCGCGCCATCCACCAGCCCCTTTAGAGCTTCCAGGAATTGAACGTCCTCCTCGTCCCCTGACCCCAAAAGCCCGCCTCTCTCAGTTGGGGCATGTTCTTGCTGAGGTGCACCCGTTTCTTCTGTTGCGTGGGGCTGTGATAGTTCAACGGAGGTACCGAGAGCGTGCGAGAAGTAAGTGGGGAGTGTGGGCGGTGGGTTTTCGTGGTGCGAGCCCAACTAAAAACGAAGAGAAATAAAAAGTACCCGATGAGTATACTTGTGTTCCAGATACTACCCCAAACCTTGTGTCATTGCTAGGGAACATCGAGACAACTACGCGCTGCGATGACTTTTGCTCTTGACCGACATTTTGAAAGCAGGGGTTCTTCACGACTGGGAAAACAACATCACGACGGGAAATAATACAGAACGAATGATGACCGATACATCGCGTTCAGCGAACCAACCAAGACAAACGGCCAACGGTCATGTGTGGCGCGCGCGCGCACGAACAGGCCCCCCCGTGCGAGGGGCCACGGTCTGAAGCACATAATCTGTAGAAGACACCATGAGGGTAGATATACCACTTCGTTTGTGTGTTGGCGTAATAGGCACGCTCAGACCTTGCTGCTGGGCTTGTGTGTGCGATCTCCGAAACCGGCATCATCTACGAATAGACTTGTCACAATACGTTACACAGCAAGTTACACCAGTAGTTGCGCGCCCTCGCGGCAAGATAAGCACAAATGGGCAAGCTGTTCGCAAAAGCAATTCACTCATGATTTCTGACAACAATCATATGCCTCCTCCTCCCTACTTCCCTGCAACACCGATGTACGAACCTCTTCTCTATGCACTAGAAACATGCCATCGGTGTTGCAGGAAAACACCGTACAACTGCTGTAGAAGCAAAAATGTCACCACCTTTTTGCTACAAGTTCTGAACGCCTGAACTGCGGGTCCGCTGGTCAACTATAGCCAACCTCAACCGGGCGGGGAGCCCCTAATTGCGCCTTCAGCAGTACCTGCGACGGAGCTTCGTGGCAACATTCAGCATCCGATTGATCCGTTGCAGCTGGCAGCAGCTCATGACTTGCTTCAAGGCACCTGCAGAATTTCGAAGAATGCAAGACAGACGGACCCGGGACAGGAGACCAGCGACTTTGCAGCCGGCTTTCGGAACTTGCAAGAGCGAACCTAGGCTCGAGCGTGTGATATCTTAGTCCCTCGAATCCTGGTTTGTGCTTAGTGCGGGGTGGCACCTTTTGGCAGCTACAGAACCGTGTTGCTTCTTTGAATACACACACCAGGACCCTATTCACTTTCTTCTTGCCAAGTGGCAAGCTCCGGATGCGTCCAGCAGCAGCGAGCGGTATGCACATCTCGGCACTGTGTGATTGCTGTTTGTAACCCATGGGCTATGGTTTATCAGCCCTGGGAAGGTTGTGTGTGGCTGCGAGACGGGATGAAACGCTGTTATCTTGGCGCACCCAGAAGGTGTGTAAAGAGGACATATGACCAGGTAAATGATGTACAGCAGTAGGTTTGCATACAAATCATGTGCAAAACGCCAAGAACGTCCACCAGCGTTACGTAGGTTGACCGCACATACCTGTCCCGCGGAACCCGGAATCCGGCGCGCAGACCATTGGAACCATTCACAAACCCAGGTCTGCTCCTTCCACGAGAATGGAACTGATGATGTTGAGGCATGCTCTCTCAGCCGCGCGTGCGTGCTAGCCACGGACTGCTACACGGCGGAGATGCGGAGGTGCGGCCGACGGCCCGCGGATGATCTCCGGAGATTGAGGTTTGCTACACGTAGAAGGCGAGAGGCCGTGAAGGTGGAACTGGGGTCGCGACTACTTCTGATCGTCGACGTATCCACCGTCCGTCCGTGTTGCGCGTGTGTGTTCGCGTGTTCTTCGCGTTTCATCTCTCAAACATTTACCGAAGGTGTTCGGAAGTCTCTACAGACTGGCAGCCGGAAATACACCAATCACACCCAGAAGGTCTCGTGTATGCGTGGTCGGCAGTGTCTCAGGCGGTAGATAAAACCGCCAGTAGTGGCCAACCAAAGCGAAGTTAATTCGCATGAAGAGGCGGACGACTAAACGTATTCCGTTCTTGATACCATTACGACACGAGACGAGGGATAGCCCCCTAACGCACGGTCATCGCCAGAACTATCGTATACGTACTTCTCAAGGACACCGGAACTCAGGACGCAACAGACAGCACGCCAAGCTCTCCTTCTCCCAACAATTCAACGTACCTCGCATTGACCCCGTCCGCTGCTCCGCTAAAGCTATAGCCCCGATCAGATACAACCCCACCCCGACCGCGAAAACTACACCGATAGGCCGCCAACCCCTTGCGGAAATGGGCAGCGCTCATGAGGACTTACTTCCTCCGGCCACTGGCGGCATCTTTTTGCACCCCCCAATGCATGCCGCAGAGCACAGCCCCGATCACCGCAAGCGCGATGAGGCCGTGGCACGGGACCGCCATCATTCTCATCCCAAACGCCCATAGCCCCACGTACAGGACCATAACAGACACCACGGCCATCGACGCAGCCGCCCCCAATACATCGCTCAGACCCTTTGCCCCTCCTCCTCCCCCCCCGGCACCGGGACTCCCCTCTCTCGACGACACCTTACCCCCCCTGATGGCCCTCACCGCCTCCTTGCACCCGCCGCAAAACTTACAGACGCAGCGGCAGAACTCGCACCAAGTGGACGGGGACGCTGGCTCTCTCTGGGGGCAGTCGCACGCCACCACCCTGAACCCGGGGCCTAGGCTTACCCCTGGCCCTACGCGGACCCTGTCTCTATCAGTCTCCACGTAAACCGCGCCCTCCCCGCCGTCGGCGTGCAGACACTTGCCGCAGGCGCCGTGCCCGTTCGGGCGTTCTAGTGCGGCGGCCGCCAGAGCAGCGATGCCACCGCTGCTGCGCCTACCGTCTGCGGTCCCCCCCGCTATGCTCCCCCCGTTCGCCCTCGCCACCTCTTCGGCCAACTGGAACTGGAACTCCGCCCAGAAGGCATGCATGCCGGGGGGGGACGGGAACGGGCGCGCCCGACGGGCCAGCCAAACGCTGGCGATGATGGGCAGCAGGGCCAGGGAGGCCAACGCTAGCTCGGACGATGCCACAAACGGCTCGTGGGACGGCCCCTGGCGACGCAGCAGGATCCCCGTCGCGGCTATCTGTGGCCCGTTCAGCAGCGCGTTGATGGGCGCGAACAGGAAAACGACCAGGTGCTGGTGGTTCGCCGCCGCCGGCGCGTGGGACGGGAAGAGAACGAGGCTGCCTAGCAGGGCGTACAGGGAGACCGACAGCATCATGAACACGATGGACAGCTCGTCTGCGCGGGCAGCACGACGAAGGCGACAGGGTGGTGCGGGTAACGACGACAGGCAGCGTCAGGTGTTGTCAGTGGGCATGAAAGCTTAAGCTTGGCCCGGGTGCTGCTCGTCAACAATAGACACGGACCTCCTCCCCAGGGGCACCTCATGTATCTCATGTTGAGGCCAACACAGCTAAGGGCAGTCTTCTGTCATCGACGGACGGGCCCACCAGAACACCCTCGAATTTCGTAAGCAACAACCACAAGGATACGACCGTCCCTCGGCTAAAAGCTAACCAACACTCACTCTTCATCGTCACTTCCCGGAACGTCGGCGGTAGAGAAAAAGTTTCAACATGGGCAGCCCCGACTGTAGCGATCACGGCGACTGCGGCAACCTTCGGAGACCGCAGTAGCCTTCTGAAAGCCGCAGGGACCGGCAGCATCCCACGGGCCCCATTTCCCACCACGCCCAGCAAGGTAACCAAGTACACGAACACCACCATCCATCCCGCGTTGGCCGTGTAGAGAGCTATCATGCCCTGCGGAGGAATCATGCATACGTCGAAAAAAAAAGCGCCGTAACGACAAACAGGTCGTGTTCAGTGTGCTAGGGAGCTTGACGGAGCCGAACATGCCGACGAACAGCAGGAGGTGATCTAAGAACAGCTGCACAGCGTCTAAAAGGGGGGTGGTCGATTGTGCCGGCGTGGTCAAGGGCTCAACCGCTCATCATTGGAACTCTAGTCAAGTCTTGTACGTACATGGAATAGCACTGCAAGCCTACACAACAGGTCTGACATGACGGTGAGCGAATGCTTCTGGTTGTGAGGTACGGTAAATACCCTTGGACGCATGGGTGGCCACCTCGCAACACGTGCCTCATTCAGTAAATAGAACAAGACCAGGACGACAGCCCACAAGAACGACCTCGATTCGATAGCACCCACTCCAAACTGCGAAGCCCCTCTGTTGAACTCTACTCTCAAGGCTAAAGAGGCGGTCGCGCTAGAACATCAGCCGTGACCGCCTACATAAATAGTACTACGGGGTGTGCACAACAACAGAACTAACCACGCATGTGACGGTGTACGAACCTTGGATGGATGCAAGCGAAGAGCATCTCCGGCGCCGTCCAAGGGGTTCAGGACCCGAATCAAGCTGCTGGCCAATCCATTCAGCCACCGCAAAGCCGTCACCCCAACAGCCCCCCCTGGGACAGAATAGACGGCATCTAGCGAGCGTTCCATTGGGCCGGGGAAATACGCCGCGATGTCATCGCCCAAGATCCAAACAAGCAGGGCGCCGCACGACAACCACAATCCAGCCATCGCACTTCTCCCTCTCGCCCGTATTGAGGCCCGCAGTGAGCGCCACGCGTACCGTACGGCGCCTAGCTGGAAGTGATTGTCCGGCGTGAGGAGGAGAGGGACGGGAAGAAGCACGCCTTCCTTTGCGGTCTTGGCACTGAGTCCCTGAGGATTGTTACAAGCGGTACGGGTGGTGCGAAGAAACAAGAGAAAAAAAAGGGAAAGATGAGAACAAGACGTTTGAAACAGGAGGAAGAGGCAGGAGGACTCCCACATACACCTCCCAACTGTATGCTCGAACGCACACCGCTTACTGCGGTTTTACTGACAACTCCTATTTGAAGGGTCCCACACTCTACCAACCACAAGGCTCTCTTGTCGTCTAGGCGGGGTGTAGCACCCTTCCAAGACCTTTCTGAGGACCGTTCCCGCCACACGGCACCAATCGACACTGTCACGCTCCAAAGGGAAAACCACCGAGCCCAACAAATGGTCCTTCAGAACGTTGAACGAGCGTTTCACAAAAAAACGGGCCAGCTCAGATCTTGCTGATCTTACTGCATCACCCGGCCCGCTATTTAGTGCTTTTGACTTGAGTACCGCAAGGTGCTCACCAAGAACAAGGCAGCAGACGCTCGCAAAATATCGACGGCAACAGGCGCTACACCGCCATGTGCACAGATGTAAGAAGTTCGCTCACCCTGGTCAACGCCGCAGCAAGCACAAGACACGCCACATACACCCACGCAGGGACGAACAGCAGCATGCGGTCGGAGACCAAGGACCTCGCCACCATGAGCATTTCGTCCCCCGTCTTGTACGCCTCTTCGAACCCCACGGATCTGGGGAAACCATCGGCTGAGGACGTGGCTTCGGATGACCTGTTGGAAAAGATTGGAAAGGCGACACACATGCAGAGGAACAAGCCAAGCGCTGCCATGAGCTGGCGTTGTGCTCTAAAAGCGTTCCCTGCTGGAAGGAGGCGCCTCGTTCCAGTGTACCTATTACATTGTACCTCCAGCGGGATTTTACGAGACGAGGCAATCCACCACCACCCATATAACTCCTTCGGCGACACACATCCTAAGACTGAAAGAAAAACCCTTCAACAAATGTTTTGTGCACGCAGCGGCGCGTGACTTGATGCGCCTTTCACTCCGACGCCTGCAATGTTAACTACAGCTACCTACCCGTGAAACATTGCACGTTTGCGATGTTGGAGGGAACATGCCATCTAACATGATATCTATTGTAATTTTTGTCCTCCAGGGGTCATGTCATATAGGAGTACTTCTATGCATACCAGGCTCCAGGGTCCGGCCGAGCGAGACTCCACGCGACTCGTTCGCGAAACTACTATATAGCAACCTGCTTTTACAGTCCGTCCAGCAGGAGACTTGTAGGCTTGTTTACCAACAAGTCGTACCTTGGCAAAGAGGCAAGCACACCGGCAGCCACTCGCGTTCTCTCCTTGGCTCCTGCCCCCATCCTATGAAGCACTTCAAGCTCGGAGAGAGTCGCAACCACCCTGACAGCCGCAAAGCACAACATTTTGCAACAAAACAAAAGCACAAAGAAGGGTCGTGGGAAAACTGCGCACGAACTTCTCTCCTCCATGTCACTGGTGAAAGCATGATGATGCGGAAACAAGCAGGTAGGGTTGTAGACAGGTCATGGTCTGCCCCGAAGGTCAGATCAGTCGGGTTTCGAACGCCACGAGCCAGCTCAGGTGAGAGGTCAGAGGTCACCAGGGGTAACAAGAATCAGAGGGTAGGTCAGCCCATGACCTGTTACGTTTACGCGTAATCTGGAGTGAGTTTTAAACGTACCTGCCCCGGTTAGGCGCGGCGGACCAGCGGGCCTGAGCCATGTTACACGACAACGGCAAAACCCCGCAGTATAGACTAGGCTAAGTGCACAGGATTGAAATTTGCATGAGTATCTTAACAGCAAAGTTACTCCCTTTGCCTGGGTGTTCTCTAGAAAAGACAGGGCAGGTGACACGAAAGGATGGCCACACATGAACAACAGAACGTGACACGCGGAAGATAGACATCGGTGCCAGATAGAGCAATCACGTAAATGTGACCCTCAAGACACTCGCAAAAAAAAAACACCAAAACCCACCTGCCAATGAGCTGCTTGCACCATACCAGCGCGAGGTGATCCACCCCAAACCCGCATTCTTCCATCGCAGTCGTCGTGAAGCTGGCGCTCTGCCCCTCCAACCCCAACCCATCCGTCTCACACAGCGAGGTGTGCACCATGAAGTCCTTCAGCCCCCCCGCCACGCCCAGCAGCACCGTGTCCCCCAGCAAGGTCTCCGCGTCCACGCCAGCCGACCCCCCCCAGCCAGACCTCCCTGCGAACGATCCCCTCGCAGCGGTTTCCAAAGCACTGCCATCTGCGAGCCCGCCCGTTCCCAGAGCGGGGCAGCCTCTTTCCGCAGTCTCAGACTCATCCCCGGCTGCAAAACACGCTTCTTGATGAGAATCCTCGTCAGCTGCGGCCGACTGGGAAATCTCGAATGCCGGGCCGTTGCTGCCCGACCAGCAGTGGGAAGACCGAGAATCGGAAGGGGAGGAGTGCCACCGCCAGAGCGAATCCGTGCACTTGTACAGGCTGACCAAAGGGTGGGACAAAGCAGGGAGAGAGGGGGGGAGGCGGAGGTTTCGCTGTGAGAACACCACAGCACACTGTTGAGCATTCCGTTCTTGAAAAAAAGAACATCCTTCACACGCTGCTCTCGCGCGTGAGGAACCACGGGATGCCCCGTTAAATAAACGATGCGAGAGCAAACGCTCCCTTCGGCGACAGCTACTTCTCTCGTCTGGGAAATGTTCCTCTCGTCCGGCTCGGCTTTTGGAGAAAGGGCAGAGGGAGAAGGGAGAGGGCCCCAACTGAAAGTCGTTCGCTTACGAACTGCAGCAGGTGGTGCCTCCACCAGCAGAGTACGCTCACGACCAATCGTGTATACCTGCCCCATGACCGTACCAAACAACACCACCGAATTATAGTGGAAAATCGAACCGAACGAGGCCCTCCCTCCCTCCCTCCCTCCCTCCCTCCCTCTTCGGGAAGTTATCCCAAGGAACATTGTGCACGCGGTGGTGGACACGGCGAGGTCCATCGTAGATAGTGTGACTTGGAGACTTACCTGAGGTAGGAGTAGTCCATTCCCCATGGAGGCCGGTCGTGAGGTGACCCCAGCGTAAGGATGTCGGTTATAGAGCCTAGTCGGTATGACGGGAGCGCGAAGGCAGCCCTGACAACCCACAAGAAAGAGTCGGCACACCGGACATGCCAAGACAAGCATTGAAATGACGGGAATGACAAGACAAGATGGCATGGCGACGAGTTAGCGCGGTCGAATGATTCATCGGCTCTTGTCAAAATGTCAACATCTTCCTGCCATTGCGCTCCAGCGCCCGCGTTTTTCTGCGCAGCGACAACCACACCGCACGCCACAACGGCGAAGCTAGGTACAGTCGTTTCCTCCCTATCGCTTCACCGGCTAGGGGAAGCGTCAAGCTGTACCGTACCGTGCGGTTCAACACACATCACACAAGCTGCAATTACTACCCTCCAAGCAACACCGCACCACTGAATGTTCATTCACACGCGCAAGCCTTGCACGAGCCGCGCATCGTGGGAGATGGACAGCCCGAAAGGGGCCGATGAGAACAACTACGATACAGGGCAGGTACAACATAGCATGGTAGACAAGTATGAAAACAACCCCCCCCCCAATTTTTCAGAAGGGGTGCCTCTGTGCAAGCGATATAGTGTTTCGTCGAGCACAGACCTAACCTTACCTGGTCACAACCCCTCCTAAAGAATGGCCAACGACCATCACTGAATCCGCGAACGGCACTCCGCCTTTGCCGGTGTACAAGGCAAGGATGGCCTCCACAGCGTGGTTCAAAAACTCCGCCTGACAAACGAAAAACGTACATGTCACGACAAGGTGAACGAGAGCTCCGGCAGCAGCAGCATCTACAAAAAACAAACGCTACCACCCCAAGAGGGCAGCGACGCTCCGAGCATGGTCAACACTCGGCCTTGTGGACTCAGGGCTCCATGCCCCATTATTTCCCACATCTTGTTCAAATGAAGCCACAAGCAACGTTATTGTTCGTGTGTTTCGTCTGAGAAAAAACATAAGTACCTGGTATATCTTAATACGTTGGACACAAACACTAGGACCACCGCACTAGAATAGCCACCCTGAGAAAGCAACATGACCCTGAGCGAAACAGCGCCAAAGAGACGACACGACACGACACGAGTCTGTCTCAAAAACGCCAAGGACACTGCCATTTTATATTCTAGCAGAACCAAAAGCGACCCACACAAGAGGGAGGCTCTTAGCGGGTTGGAAGATTACAGCACACTACAGTACAGTACAAATACTGTACCACAACAAAGCAGTTAGTTGCCCTTGGACAAGGATAGTTGGTTCACAGAATGCTGGCCACCTCGTGTTTTATCCTAACATCATATCCAACCTGAGGCACGACAAGCCACACGTAGTTGTAGCCCCCCTGTTCGCGACACTCGCGGTCGAATAACAGAAAACAATCCATGCTCGCGCACCATCCGGAGCTTTGATTTGAAAACCGAGGATCAGGTGTCTAGCGACAGTTGTCGACGGTGTGTGCTCACATGTCTCCAAACCAAAGACCCGTGCAAGGCAGTGCACTCCTCCAGGAAGTCCAGCGAAAAAACGTCTAGTCGACGCATCGGGCCCGACAGTTTTATCCCCGCTGCTTGGGAGCCCAGGGAACGTGCCTGTTAAAACACAATAACAAACACAACAAACAAGTGTCGAACATGAAATGTGTAGCATATGTAGAATAGCACGAGTACACAAGAGCCTATTGAACGACACCAGCAACCTCAGCGCATAGATGCAGGCCTGCAACGGGTCTACGCAGCAGAATAGAAACACTGCTGTGTGAAGACTTGGGACCCCGTTTGCATTATTGAGCGCGAACCGGCCAATCGTAGCTGAAGACACACCAAGCAGCCGAGTCTCTCCTCAACACATTTCGGGCTACCAGAGGTGACATAAGATACCACACCAAGTTGACCGATTTTCAAAGCTCGTCTGCTTCACGACGACGAAGATGCCACAGTCAAATTTTACGTTTTCGGGGATATCTCGGCGAGACGGTTCCAACACAGGCATTTTCGGCACCGCTGTTCCTCCTTTCGGCGCAGAGTAATCGAGCGTCGAAGATCGATCCAGGGGATGTGGTACCTCATGCAACATATTCATACGGTAGTCTACCGCAGTAACGCACTATCGCACTATCGCAGTCAAGCCAACATTTGATGGCAAGCACCAGGCGTTCATAAACGAAAAAAAAAACGGGTGCAGCAGAGGTCGCTGTAAAAAAGTGCCGGTATGTGCCCACAAAATTCACCTGCACTATACCGGACCGGCAATAGAATATTTAAAGTATTGAGAATGACTTGGAAATTCACTGTGTGCCCGCCGAAAACACCGGCACCAAACAGGGGCCTCTACTGCTGCACACCAGATGATCCTCCTTGGCGATTTTCTTCCCCCATCAAACTTAACGCGTTATTCCACGCCATCCTACGATATTCAGCGAAAACCGGCACTTGCACTCTGTTGAGGGAACGGCCTCCACTCTCTCGCACGCTCCTCGTGCGTGTTCCCTCCAGGCAGAGAGAGATGGGCAGGCAAGCAGGCCTGTAATATTTAGCACACCCTCGCCTACGTTTGTCGGTGCGCTTGGTCGCACCTGCTCGTAGCTGCCAAGATGCCCCGGCACGAACAGGACGGGGACCCCCGCCGGCTTAAGAGGGTCGGCCTTTTCGCTAGCAGGAAGCGCCCTATCCATGTACCGCATCAGGCGGTACTGGTATCCGGGCACCTCTTCCCCCGCGGCTTCCCCGGTGGGATATCCGGCAACGGGGAGGTGAACGTACTCAGGCCGCGAGAACGTCATCTTGCAAGAGTTAGACCTAGAGTCAGTCCCTTTCGACCTCGCCCAGAACCCGAAGCCCAGCACCACCGCCGCCTCGAAAAAAACCCTGAAGGCGGCTACACCGGCAGCAGCCGCTCCCTGCAGGTAGTATACAGCAGTACCGACAGCATGGCGAGGAGGACGTGGGCCCTTCGAGGGGGGGTCGACTGCTGTTCGACATGAGATACAAGCGAGAACTTATCTACCCATGATACTGGGGATGAGTAAACCTCCAACTGGTTCTAGAAGCGTAAACGCCAGCAGCAGCAGCAGCAGCACGATCAGCAGTCGAAATAACCACCGATGGTGGACTTATAACTCTTCAACGCAAGACAGACAGCCTTCAAGACAGCACAAACCGATTCAGTCAAGCAGACTCGCATGTACACACACCCAACACGTGCCTCAAGGGCAAACACGTCTAGACAACAGCAGCACCAGCATGCCCTCACATCTGCCCTCTTCTTTTTCTTGGACGCTCTCCTGCGGCGGTGAGCAGCCTTGAGGCCCTCCGCACCCTCTGCCGAATCTCCCGCCTCCGGATCTACTTCCTCTAGCAACGGCATGCTTGCTCTGCGCCGTTCGCTGGTTGGGCGCTGCTTTTCACGACTGACAGCACGACGACCGCGGAAAAACAACAAACCTTTTGTCAGCAATTACAACACAGCGAGCAGGCCTTGCCGTTCCAAATACAAGGTACAAACACAGACCTCCGGCTTGACCTGGTGTAGGCAATTTGTTTAGGCAGTGCGGGTCGTGACCGAAGGGTGGGATATATTGCAGGGTAAAGGAGGGAAATAGTAAAAAAAACAGCAAGTTGTCACACGACACGGCGCCGCCGTGTTCTCTGTGAAGGCCACGTTTTATACACAACACACGACACGACGGCGGGTTCTCTCCGATATTTTTGTCCGTGACCCAGTACAGAAGTACAGGACGATATTTTGTTCTTAGTATAATACTCAGTGTAGTCTCATGAGCCCAGTTTCCAGCCGGTTTCCCTCCACTTACTGACAAAACATCAGCACATCCCTTTCGACTGCTGCTGTGGTTATATCTCGAACGGGTAGTCTTTCTGGGTGAGTTCATGTATGTTGTCCAGAAAGGCACGGCGGTCCTGCACTTCCTGCAGCAATAAAATAAAAGCTATGTACAGCAATCAGCGGAGGATTCCGGGAATCTAACCAGTCAATAGAATGTACGCCATGCACATACGCTTGCAGCAGCTCTTTCAAATGGGCACTATGGCATGGAATAGAGATAGGCGCATACCGACCCTGGCGCTGCTCTGGTGACAGCAACCTACCCAAGTCTAATACCTGCCCTGTAGCACAGCAGTTCCTGCTGTACACATATGCCATGAACAACAACACTTTGACGATCGACAGGTGTCGAAGATGGGAATGGAAAGATGCAAGACACAACGTGCAACACTTCCGTGCCAATTCATTTTCAGAGTTCTGTCCGTGTGATCCCATTTGGAGTAACAACGGCGTGCCGTGAAACTTCACGACGCGTACATACAGCAGTGGCAGGCTGAGGAGATGTTCTCACACGACGACACGCGCTGAGAGCAGCGAGAGCGGTGTGCAGCAGAGAGCGAACAGCACCGGCCAGTACCGCGTTCTCTATTTCACGATGCAGTCAAGACAAGCTTTCAAACCTGCCTCACGTTCAAGGTCCCTGCTGCCTGTGCACGCACACACCGTGCTATCCCTCCGTCTAGCTGTTGTGCTCGTGACTCTCCGCCTACTCTGCGCTCCCGCGTCGCCCGTGCGAGGGGGGATCGCGGTCGAAATATTTCACCCGCGGCGGGGGGAAGGAGGGGGTTACGGAGATTCCCATTCCGCCGCCAGCAGTTCGTCACACTCTTCCTATCTAAGAAGCTGTTTCACGCCGTCTGAGGCCACTGCTGCCACAGCAGCTGTAGTCTAGACTATCAACCCAGGCAAGTTGGAGGATGAAGTCTTGGGCGAATATGTAGTCTAGAAATCCATCATCATTTGCGTTGTATACACCTCACCGTCCCTGAAAAAGCGTATCCAGAAGACAAAAACTGTGATTGCGTACAACATGTTTATTCAAGCCATCCATCGATGCATTGAATGGAGCGTCCGCTATGAATGACTTAGTTCTACTAGGCCCGGCCAGTGTAGCAGACAGGCAGAAACAACGAAGAAACAGCGGAGACGGAAGTAGAGGGTACAGCAGTACACCGCCCCATACATTTCCCAAGAAAAAAATGGGGAGCGCAACCGCTGTTACGCATACGTGTAGCCCACCTCACTCAACGGAAGCACTCCACGACATGCACCATCTACTGTAATCCGTCTTAGCTTCCCAGTCGTTCCGAGCCGCATTCGTATCCTTCGCATATATGTAGTCTTCGCGCAATCTACGTATGTATGTACGGCTTGAAAAGCATCTCCCAAGAAAGAAAATCGCACGCGCACAAAAAAAGTGGGAACACTTTGGACTCTTCAACATTCACAAGAAAACTGCCCCCGGAGAAGAGGGACTGGCACACGAATGGCTTGATTCTCCCAGCCTTTATCCGAAACTAGTGGGACAAATTGGACACGACGAAAACCTTTGCAACAAGAGCACGCCACTGCGGAAACTTGTTCAACGAAGTATGGAAGAAATTTCAACAGAAAAATCATAATGCGTCTTCTTCTGAGTCGCCGCTCGACACGTCTCCGCCTCCAGTGGTGGGGAGGATGGAGCATGCCACCTCGGTGTCGACAACGTCCGGCGGAGCTTCGATCAGCCCTTCCAAGGAACGCATAGCCTGAAACATACAACCACACAAAAATAATGCGTGGTCAACCGCAGGAGGAATGGTGCCAATAATAACAACTGTTTTTCGACAACGACGCCGACATTTTTGTAAGCTGGGTGCGGGCAGGGCACCCACACATCCAGAAAGGACGTGTCAAGACCAACTCCGGAACACGAGCAGTCTTGGAGGGTATTGGCGAAACTGGCTCGTCGAGCACCTTCTTTGGAACGCACCCGCACTCGTTATCGCGGCAAGCTTTGTGGACCACCAAGACCAGCAGCAGCGAGTCAAGCCTGGCGCACACCAAGCAAAAGTAGAAGATAGTACACACGTCTTTCCCTCCTCTCAATGTACGTACGTCTGTCTAATCAAGGCAAATTAAGGCAGCTCAATGTACGTCTTACTAAGGCAAATTAAGGCAGCGCTACCTTCGCGTAGCGGCTGTCGCCCACAGCCGTCTCGAGATCTCCCCATGACTGCCACAGGGTGAGAGACTGCACCGTTCCCGTAGCTCTGTCTGAAAATACTTGAGCGCCACAGAACCCCTTCACCTGAACCGAAAAACGGATGGACATGGCGCGCGACTGCTCAACAGCTCTGCAGACTAGAGAAAAAATTGCCTGCAGCATACCGACTGCAAGGGATGCGCTACTACTTGATGTGGTACGCATAGGATCGTTAGGCAGCACAGCAGGAACATCCCTACGGCCACGCTCGCGCACCAATAAACCCCTTCGCCTGTAGGCCAAGCGACCGCATGCTGCTGCGCGGCTAGGTGTGTCCCGGCGTTGCACATGCTCTCTAGCGAGTTTGGCAGCGAAAATGAGACGAACAATGCTACTTCGTACCAGGCACAACGGGCGCAGCGAGCAATGCAGTGCTACTCTCCGCTAAATTTTCACACAACAAACCGTGCTTTCCAGGCGTTTCGCTGTGTAACACCAGAGTATGTTCCGTGTGCCGCGTATCATGCGAACTGTCGGCCCTCGATCCGCGAGCCTTACAGACAATCAAGCACGACAACAACCGACCTGCAGCACTGGTGCAACAGACGTCTTGTAGAGAGCGACTACTCGAGGAACGTTTTCGGCGGAGACCTTCACCGTCGACAGCCTCGCTGCGCGTCCCAGAGAAGCGTGGTGGCACAAGAGTTGCGTCAGGCAAAGAAAGGTTACGAGAGGTCAGTTCAGGAGGGTAGACGGGAAAGCGCAGCTTATCGTAGCAAAATAAGTGAGTGTCTTCGACGCAGATACTCCATAAACTAGTGTGTGCTCGTGAGGGACGGCACATGGAGACAGACACACGTGATTCTGATTCAAGCATGAGCCCATGCACCAACACCACCCCCACCCCCGAGTGCTGCTCACCACAAGCGGGCCCTCTCGTTGCAACTTCCGGGCTTGGTCTTGCCGAGGATGCCTCGGAATAGTCGTACACTCCAGCCTTGTGCCAGAAGTCCTCCTCCGACGGCTTGAGGTTTGTCCGGCCCTCCGGCACGCCGTGACCCTTTTCGCGTGGAACGCGAGACTGCAGCCGCCGTTCCAGTCCACTGCCGTCGATACAGGTAGTAACACAGAGAAGAGGGGCTAGGGGTTAAAACAGTTTCTATCACTAGCCTAGGCCAAAGGGTATGGGTTTTGTGGGATAGAGCTATTTAGTTCCATCACGACACTAGAGGTGATGGGTTCTGTGGGATAGAGTAAGTTTTCATCACTAAATAGTAGGTCAAAGGGTTGGGTTTTGTGGGATAGAGTTAGTTAGTTCCATCACCAGACCAGAGGTTAAGGGTTCTGTGGGATAGGTTTAGTTTCCATCACTAGTCCAGAGGGTATGGGTCTCGCGGGAAAGCAAAACAACCGCTGGGATGGGTGGCGGGACTGTCAGATGTGTCAGCCTCTCAGCCGGCTGTGGGCACCGCGCTGAGCGGGCCAGCTGTTTCTTGCTGTGGAACGAGACAATGCGGCGTAATTCTATCCCTGTAGACCGGGGCAAGGGTCACGAACGTGAGACGTTATCATCACTCACACCGATTGGAACTTAGAGGAGCCTCTTTCCCCTTCAACTTACAAATTTAAAGTGGGAACAACTGAATCATCGTTCCCAGAACGGGTATGGCCACATGGCCCTCCGGCCTGGTGCGACTGCTTGTAGCATTCGTTGTCGTTGCTGTACATTTCTGATGCCTACAATGTAGGAGCAAATACGTTTCACTGCTGTTTACCCTTTGTCCCCGATACATCCGATGAAATGAAGCAGTTCACTACCGTTACCATGCCACCCTTATGTTGTCCGACAGAAGCAGCGGCGGTATCAACAGCAGTTATTGCTGTAGTTGTAACTGGTGCCAACTCGTGCTGTAGATATCATCCATATGCGGACGCATTGCACCTGCTGCTGTACATACCTCCAGTTCGGGTGCAGCTCCTCGTCAGGTTCGCACGACGTGCCGCCTTTGTGGTAGTACGAGAGCCGTCTCGTTGCACTCCTTAGCCCACAATATCGTAGCAAACCGCGTGTGGCCATCGTGCTAGCGGCGTCTCTCGAGTGTGCAATGCTCCGTACACACAACACACGCGGCAGGTATTGGGGCACCGCGGTTGGGGAAACACATGGGTACCATACTCAGATACGAGCTGGCTCTATTCAGCTCAACGGCAACAACAAGTGCTGTGTCTAGTGCTGTGTCATCTACGCGCGATGCGTCTATAGCAGTATCACACCAGACCCACACGCCACGGAGCCACTCGCTGCGGTATCACCGTTCACCCCCGTGGCCATGGGCCTACTCTCCCGTGCCTGCTTAGTGCTATGGCTGACACCCACTCACTCGTTCATGGCAGTGCCTCCGATCGCTTCACGAAAACGAGTAACAACTCAATTGCATAGCGGTGAGGACGGTCGAATACCACCTTCGCCAGAAACGCTTAGGGCGCGAGCTGCTGCGATACGTGAAGAGCTCAAGGAACTCGAGGCAAACGCAGCGGCAACCAGGCGACCCAACGCCGAGCTAGCGGAACCGAAGCGGGTGAGTGCACGTCAGAAGACGTGGGTCGCCGGTTGCATTGCGTACGTACGTCGCCGCCTGTGTCGTGACAACGTGACAACGAGACGCTACACTAGCCTACACGTGTGGTCCACGACATCGGGGTGCGTGTGTTCATGAGAACATATGGTAGTAGAACATGGCCCTCGAAGTCTTCCTTGTTCTTGTGGCACTAGGATCCGGGACCGAGGCACCGAGGCGCCGCTTTGGAATTTGGAACATTCGAAGACATGCGGCGTAATTACAGGCCGGGCGTCGAACAGCCTGACTGCTCTTGAAGCTCGCTGTCTCGCGCGCGTTGTAGCGGGAGCATTAGGTAGACTGTAGACTACAGGTAAATCCTTTTGCAGCGATTCCCTCCAAAAGTTCAACGTTCCACACCATCCATCATCTATATCCTTCTCCACAAGTAGGACGGCTACATGGTGTTACTGTTGGCAATCAACCAAATTTACTAGATTTGCGTACTGTACATGAAAGAGTCAACGCGCCAACAGCGGTACTACTCTATTGTACGTATGTACGTGTGCATATGCAGTTCGGGATCTGAGACATCTGTTTGCTTTCTTGTGGCAACAGGGTGCTATCTTGTGTTGCGTGCATAACGACGTGTTCGAGATCCGCACTCGTGCATGATAAAGGGCAAGACGGAGTAACCCGAACTTACATACTTTTGTCTATGCTCGCAGGTGGTTCCGTTTCCAGAGACTCTGCTTGACAGCTGTTGGAAGATCGTGATGGATCTTCGCGGTGTGAAGAGTGACAAGAACCGAGTACCGGTCCGTCTGGTGTTCTGCTGCAAGTTCGCTGAGGATGATTTCATTCTCGAAGTCGAAAGCGACAATCGCTTCGTGAAACGGTACGTACGTGAAAGCCTATTGGGCGGACACGCAATTCTGTGTTGAAACCTAGGACGAGATGTAAGCTGTAAACCGTCCGGTATTTTCTAGGTCGGCACCGCCCACTAGGTTCAGCGCATGCGCTACGCAAGACGTAACACTATTGTCGGTGATGCAAAATTTGCCCAGTAGGGCATGCATCTTCATACATACGGCCTCCAATCTCGATTTACAAGTTTGAAAACAACGAACATAAAGACCAACGATGAGGTGGCACGTGCGATCGGGCGTCTGCATGAACAATGCCCCCCGACAATCCTTGCTTTCGTTGGGAAGTTGTACGACGAGCGTATAATACGGTATTCCTAGGAAATGGTAGATGTGCATGTACGCTATTGGGTGACGACCTCCAGCCTCGATCGTGGCCCTGGCTGTGGCATCTTTCGCGGTGTTGAAATTTCCTGTAGTTTTCGCTATCGAGCAATGGGCCCTTCAAGGCCGAGACGAGCTTTGGCCCCGTCTCCAATCCACGTGTCTGCGCCTCCTCACAATGCGCCTATTTGCAGGGGGTACGTCTGGGAGCCCGATCGAAACAACGACGAGGACAAAGAGTTCATCACGTTCATCGCAGAAGTGGAAGGGTTGTCGGCGGTTCCTGACGGGAGGATCTTCATGAACGCTTTCATCGACAAGATCGAAGGTGAAGAAAGGTTTCACGTGCAGACCTATTGATTCCTACCACCTACCACACATTGTGCCTGTTCTTCATCCGAACCATCAAAGGTGGGTTGTTTTACCAGAAGAGCGCTCCTTGCAATGCCCTCAAAGGTGATTTATATACTTGCATATTATAAGTCGTGGGAAGATACACATCTATCTTGGTTGCTATTTGCGGTAGTAGCAGATTTGGTCTTAGGCCGGGCTGTCTTAGAGCGTCGGACGTTACAATAAATGTTGCCGGCCTTGTGGTCGCTTGGATGCCTTTTCCATTCCGTCACGGGTGATTCAACCCCCCTGAGTTTTTGGCGCCGAGTCTCTTTGCTCATTGGTATTTCAATGGGGGCATTTCTAGTCGTGACAGATCATCTTGTCGCTGCTGCACGGCCGAGGAGATTGCAGTACCGGTTGGCTCAGGGACGGAACATGACCGGGTGTTCTACCTTCCGTACCTTCAACCGATCATGTGAGCTCCGGTTCCCATCCCGGCTGGAGATCGTGACAGGGGTCACCCAAATCCGCTGTTGCAACACCTCACCAATCCATGTCGCCGCTGATACAACACCTCCTGGTGCCACGATGGGCCGTTTTCCGAGTTAACACACTGCCATTCTGTAACGTTCCCGTTCGTCGAACTGCCTTCGCAGGGGACGATGGCAAGACCAGGTACAAATTCAGCGAGGGAGCCGTGACTATCAAGGAGGTGATCGACAAGTCGTTCTGGGGGGTGTTCAACACGGCGGGATTGCTGGCGGAGTTCAAGGTCGTTGGCACCTGGGACGCTTCTCCCATCGATGCCTTGCCCGAAAAAAAGTCGTCGCCTGAAAAGTAAAAAGCGGGTGGGAGACTGGTCATCTACGGCGTTCTCTGCCCAGCATGAAAGGTTTTTAACCGACATCGAAGAAGGTTGTTCGTGGCTTTTTCCGGGTGCACAGGGCACAGAAGTTATTTTTTCACCACCAAGTATCCCCCCTCGGGTAACATTGAGGCTGGCCGGGCCGTAGAGAGTGGCACTTGGATTGGATGGAATTGAATGGAAAGTTCCTTGCTCTGCCTGTTCGAAGCAGTGGCACCAGGCACTTGGCAAGTCTCGTGGTGTAAGCGGTGCGATAAACCGTGCGAACCATCCCAACGGTTTCCTGGTGTATTTAGCGGGGGGGGTGGGGCTTGCATCGGCCATCGAAGCTCCGACCTGAAGTAGAGTGAGTAAGTTCTTAGAGGAGAGGTAGTGCAGGATGAGGGCAGCCAGCGGACCATGTTCTCGTTGTGGATTACCTGAGACACTTTAAAACACTTGAAAGCGCCCTCGGGGTAACGATGCCCGCGCTGCTTTTCGTAAACGTCGTTGTGTAATGTATCCCTGTAATGAAGACGTAGAATTGTGGTGCTCGATTTTACTTCGGCATCGCCAAGATGCTCGTAGTATTTAGCGGTATATGTATTTGTGTTCAGAGCGGGCATGTAGTACAAAGCTTGCGTGGTTATACCCTCTGACTCGACTGGGTAGATCGTTTGTGCGCTTGAGACCTCGTTGAAGTTGAGCAAGGGTTATGTTTTCGGGCTACAGGCCGATACGGCACCCGCTTTGTATTTGGTTGACGGTGTGTTGCTGGCCTGCGACCTCTTTGAAGTTGAGCGAGGCTTATGTTTTGGGGCTACGGTACCGATACGGCGCCCGATTTGTGTTTGACTGACGGTATGTTGCTGGCCAATATCAGAAAATATGAGAATCTGTACCCTCGATGTTTGGGCGTTGCTAGCTGCACTTCTCCCTGCCATACGGGTGACCGGGATTGCCGGATATGGCTGTAGCGTCGTCCGCCCAGTTGGCAGCAAAGGTGGTAGGGATGCCGTTTCTGACGTTTCGGAAGATGCGAATGTGAGGTTCGCGTATGTTTTAGGGAATGGCACTTCACTTGTTCTCGATAAGCAAACCTCTGCCCGCTGTGACTACCTACTCTTTTCGGACTGCATGTTGAAACAACCCCACACCGCGGCGCATCAATCAAGAGGCACGAGTCGCGCTCGGCCTTTACCACGGGGAACCAGTCACGAGTCACGAGCTGTGACGGAAGTACCTTCTCAGAATCATTCGCGAAGCCTACATCGGCTAGCACAACACGCGATGGCAAGGAAACCGACCCCTTCCTCTGCTCAAGTGTCCGCACGACGTTGTCGAAGCACAGCAGGAAGGAAACTAAGCAGCCTGGAAGCCGTCGGGAACGAGCTCGGCCTGTAGCGCGTCCCCCCAGCATTCCACCTCGCCGTTCTCGTCCACAGCACACGTGTGAAAATCTGCCGAAGACACCTCCTCGTAGAAGGCGCCTGTCTTGTTCAGCTGCATCGTCGGGACATTATCAAGGTAACCGTGGCATCAGGAACTGGACATATACAAGGAAGACGTGAACAGAACTTTCGCAATCTGAACGATCGCAGAATGATTCTTGTGTTGGTGGGGACACGCTGGGTTGGTGGTCTTGCACTGATGTTCCCCAGTGCTGAGAGCACGGCGCATAACGTTTCCGATGCCTCTCGATGCGCCCGGACTGCATGTGACGTCCGAGAGCGACGTGGAGAACAACAAGTGGTGCAACCCCAACAGAAATGGTGTACAAACACGTCGCTCGCACTTAACGATTTTGTGTGGTGTAGCCCCCCCTTCCAGCTCCCAACCGCCTACAGTAGAGAATATATTAGTAATTTTTTCTTCGTGGTCAAGCTTGCTTTTCACACGTGACAAGGCGGTGCGAATGCCTATGGCACAAAGTCCAAGATGATTAACTTCCAGAACGCGCAGTTCACAAATTCTCCGACTCCATGGATTGCATTGATGCCCCCACCACACAAAGTTATGTCTGCATGTTCCCTACTGGTGTACTTACCGTTTTCACCCCCCAGCACTCTACCCCTCCATCGTGTTTTCTTATTCCACATGTTGTCCACTGGCCGCAGGTCACCTAATCCACCGTAAGGAATTGCAAACGTTTCTGAGGGGGGTGTTCTTCAGTGCACAACGCTACAAACAAATGAGATTGTCAAGCGAAACGGAATCTCACTCTAGGATCAGCCCGATGCGCCCCAAGCTCCCTTGTTGGTGTTGGCTCACCTCGTCCAACAACCTCACAACATATATGTCTCGATTCAATAGACGACACACGACGGTTAGGGCTACCGTAACGGCATACCGGCGCGCGCAACGTGCTACCTAGGAACAGCACGATGCGCCCCAAGCTCCCCTCTGCTGTTGTCGATTCGTCTTGTTCAAGAACGTCACAGTTTTTCAAACGATGGCACATGATGCTGTACCGGCACGTGCAACGTGTTATCTCCTACGGGAAACGGTGAATTTCAGATGTATGTGCGACATGACAAGGCGGTCCTACGTGTAAATTAACGACTCAATGCGAGACTATGATATTTGTCCGCTCTAAGGCGAGAAGCCGTATACGTTTGGGGTCAGAATCAACTTCGACGCCTTGGGGGCCTTCACGATTATTGGTGGACCTCCACTCTTCATTGGTCTACCGCCAAAGCTAACCTTGGTTCAGACCATGTATGTTCTTAGAGGCGCAGACGGTAGCCCGAAAGATAGTACACACCTGGTACCATGGCCCACGTCGGAACTGCGTCTCTCCTCGCATATCTCTACCCCAGCACCGGATATCTCTCTCCAACGTCAAGCCACAGATATGCCTGAAATACAGGGGAGAAACAAGCACGCCGAGCGCGTTTTAGTGCTTGCCGTCGTGTTTGTGTTTTTCCAATAAAATGGTTGTACAGAGATGATGTGGTTGGTGTCGTAGGTTCATCAGGACTCCGGCTGCACCCAACGAGCAAGACCCCGACATGGTTGTTGCTGGAAAGGATTTTCTCGTGCCACCTATACAATAGCCGAACTGGGACCGACCAACAACTACTGTAGAACACGCATTCGAAGCAGTTCAAAGCACAAAAGAGGTCACTGGTCTCTCCCCATCCTCGTTGAAACAGACGTAGCCACACGGTCTGTTGTAGTGCCAATGCCAGCGATGGATTCTGCGGTGCATGTTATCGCAAAAGAGCAGCAACCCCACAGCCAACATGGTCGTTCTCTGCACCACTACCTCCCTAGATAAACTCACCGACTATTGGAGGCAGAGAGTTGTCGGAACTGGACGTCCCGTGGGGGAGAACTTTGACCCGCTTTGTTCCCTCCCCAGCAGTCAACTTGCCCGTTTGGACGCAAACCGCAGCTGTTGTCCTTACCGGCTACAACCTAGCCAGGAAAGCAAATGAATGAAGAGGTGACCTCAACATGATGAATCCGGTTCTTCCAAATCAGCGTAATACGAAAGTCTGTCCTGATTCGGTGCCAGCGGCATGCTACAGGCCTACGTCTTTGTTTTTCCCGACATCGGGAGACTATCGAAAACGAATCTGTACTACGAGTGTTATTTCGTTATTGGGAGACGGGGCTGCGCAACTTTCCCTAGGACCCCTCCTTCGCACATTGGTCCGAGTTAGAGCACGGCAGGCTACCACTGCCCTCCCAGAGTCATCGCTGACGAGACAGGGCATGAAGGGTAACGATTATGTGACGCCTTCCCCCCATCTCCGTTTCGCGCGCCCCCTGCCCCGTGTTTTAGCTCTACCCACACCTGGACAAATGTGGTGTTTGCCGGCACCCCGGACGTACTCCCAGCGATGTCATCCCCCCAGCACGCGGCCGTCCCCTCCCTTCGAAGGCCGCAAGTGTGATGCCCCCCGACACTGAGCTGCTGAAAAAACCCTCGAGGGGAGAAGGGCATGTGTCCCCAACAGGATACCGTCTGGTCGATCTTGATCCCGCAAGTGTGGCGGTTGCCAGCGCTGACCTAATTGGATGTATGCATGGTTGTGTGTTTGTGTGAGGTGACTTCGCCTTAAAGCTCATCGGTACTTACATATTTCGCACCAGATTTTACGTTGTTCAAGTACAAAAGGTTAAAGTCAGCAGAGAGTTTTCCACGTAACAGGACTGCAGAAGACAACTTCATGATAGGAATATCAACGACATTGGCTGGTGTTTTGGCCCAACATCACAGATCGGACCTCGACCGAAAACTGGCGTTTGTTGTCTCCGGGACCCAACTACAAGTGTATCGCGAATACTTGCTTGCTGTTGGTCCGCTCTTGACGGAAACATGCCACATGTCATACCTAACCTTCCACTCCCGGTCAAGTCAAGGAAAACGACGTTAACTGTATGTACGCACACGGTGTTTCACTCTGTACTCTCCCAACCCGAACCCGTACTTGCATGTACTGCTCTACTTATACATGTTTTTTGCCACAAGCAACATTGGAAAACCTACGGAGATGCCCCATGGACCATGCAATATATAGTTCAGACTAACGCTAATGCAGGCGAGGTTCCCAGGAATAGCGGTACAAGCAAAAGTTTGATCCAAGCAACCTGATCGCACCTGGACGAATATATCGTCGGACGGCATCGATTGTCCCCAATCATCCCTCCCCCAGCATCGCACCGGCCCGCCGAAATCAACGCCGGGCCGATATTCCAAGGCGCACGTGTGATGCCCTCCAACGGCTACGGTAATGGAATCAATGTCATCGTGAAATCCCTCGGGAAGATCCTCGAAGACGACCTCCTGCGTTTCGGCTGCTAGGCCGGCGAGGGTGGTGTCTCGTCGATCGCCTCCTGATGATGGTTCAGCCGCCGCTCGAACCTCCAGCGACCGATCTACGACGAGAACGCAAGCGACCAAGATCCGAACCACAGCGGAACAGGACAACATCCTCGCTGGATCGCCCCGCCGACGTCTCATGGTCGAACGTCCGGTGATTCCTGGCTGCCGGTGGGCCCTACGATGGCCGCTGCTGCGCAGTGGTCAATTCCTTGCGTGAGAAGAGACCGCCTCGCCGCAGCAGATTGCGCCGCTTTTCACGACAAAATAAAAACAGACGGTTTCACCGATAAAGATTCAAAATCATAAAAATCTTCACACACCGGATCCAACAAATTTGCTTCTTTCTCGTGAGCGCTAAGATTGCCCACGAACTCAGTAGCAAAGCACGCGAGCTCAAACTAGGGAGAAAGCCACTGAGAACAAGAATAATGTCTTCCAAGTGGGCGTCAGATGACGATGGGCAGGATGACGCCGGCAACGGTTCCCCTCTAACTCCCAACTCGCCGCCGTACGAGCACAAAGATAGCGGAAGCGGCGGCGGCAGGCGCTCGCGGCGTCCCCGGCCCGGACGAGACGACATCGACGCAGCAGCGGCTGAGAAGGACAGGCCGCCGGTGAAGACCGTGGCGGGGGGGTAGGTCAACACCCTGCATATGATCTACAGTAGGGCTTGAATCCCCAAAACTACGGACCAACAACGCAACAACAGCTCTGTTACAGTTGGCGCCGTGACGTCAACGTCGTGGGCGTGCCTATGTCACATCCGCAAACCAATCCATTGCCTGCTTCCGTTCTGTCATATTTCCACTGATAGATGGGAGCTTGACGGTGCGGGATCTGCCAGTAGTGAAGCGCAGAAAAAGTCTGGAGGCCAAAAGACGACAACACAGCAGAAGCCAATTGAGGGGTGAGAGATAGAATGTCTACAGTACTGTACGCGGATCAGGGGGCGCCCCAGTCCACACGACGATTGTACCTCCGTTGTCTAAAATGTGCATGTAGGGTTAGGTTTGATAGACAAAATACGCCTCATCTAATGAAACATGCACATAAAGGAACAATATCCTATGTTCATGAGTGTATTGTCGGCATGCTGGTGCACATGTCCCAGAACAACAGTATGCTTCCAAACTGTACTATGTGTAGTATGCTTCCTGTGATCAATACGGATTGCGGGTGACTCTAGGCTATGAAACGATTGACTTGTCCACGCCCGCCCGCCCACAATCTGGACGTATCTGATCTGCAGCGGGAGCAATAGGGCCAACAGGCGAAACCACTTCGACAATGAAGAAACTGAGATCCTTGTGATCCCCGACCTGGAGGATGAGGGAGAAGAAGACGTCGAAACAAAAGGTGAGTCACTACATATGCAAACACGCATGCGTCTCAATAAATACAGCCAACTCTTGCAGCCGTCGTCTCAACAGAAACGCAATCAATCAATCTTCACGGAACGAGGATGAAGGTGCTTCTCGGAGTCGCTTTATTTTCTGATACCGCATGATGAACCACCGAATGCCATTTTCAAGCACAATCAATCGACTGGCCGAGGAAGCACTCCAAACTGCACATGTGTGCAGCATCATTTCGCTCGGGATACATCTCCGCTTACGTTTTGTTCTGAACGGTGTAACACTTGCAAAACCGCTTGCCCTCGGAAGTTGCCGCCGCTCCGCAAAACACAACGAGACGGGTGCCTTCTCTGCGGGAGCTAGACGAGGATCTCAAGTACGCCATTCCATCTGGCGCTGATGGACTCGACATGAGTCTGTTGACCAAAACCCTGGTTCCGTCGGAGATGGTGAGAGAGAGTAGCGCACAACTTCGATATTCCGAGCCTCTTTTACTCCGTTGGCTAGCAATAAACAAACGTTTGGAGGAAAATCATTGCGGTTTAAGTTGTTGTCGTAGGTGGTCCATGGGTACTCTTTCGGACCAGCAGGCACACACTTACATTGGGAGGCATCCACTCTCGAGCAAACCTACCGTGAAATGTATACCCCACCTCCTTGGAAAGGCCGTTTCGAAAAGGCCAAGATGGCCGGGTTGTTAAGACGGCGAAAAGCTCGTCTCACGCTCCCCACGGGCTGGCCGGGAGGGGATACCTTCAGAACAGATAGGTGTTTGGGGGGAACACCACGGGGGAACACCTCGCGGTCAGTCTCCTCTCTGGGTAGTAAATAGTTGTTCATGTCCCCTACAGCATACACTTGCACCTCTGTGAGGGCATTCTAGAGTTTGCAGACAGCGCCACAGAAGTTCACGGCGTGGACATCCGAGAAACTCAACATTTTATCCCGGTCGTTCTGATGTGACCCCCCGGTATGAAAAACAACCCTTCCAAAAACTGTAGCAAGGAGGTGGGGGGGGGGGGGAGGGGGGTCGCAATCGTCCCTGAAAGGGGCCGAATGTATGTCTACAACATCCCCGCCTATTGGATGTTGGGGGGGCACAGCGGACGATGGGGTAGCCCTAATTCGGTTATTCATGCGCGCCTTCACTTCAACCGTCGTGAAAGCACCCAGGACCTTTGCTTATGTGCCAAGCGTTCAATAAACCGATACTGCTGTAGAGATAAAATACAGTACAGTACTCCAACTCACTTGTTTTCGAAAAAATCGGGGTCAAGCGATGTGTTGTCGTCTGCTGTACGATGCCGATGCCGTGGGCAGTTCAGACGACTAACGAGCCGTGTCTCATTGTTTTTTTGCTTTTCCCTGTGGTAAACTAAGGCTCTTGATTTCGTTTGGGTGTAAATTTAGTCCCCCAACCTTGAACATTCCTCGTTGGGTCCCAATCGGATGATGCGATAACCGCCTGCGGAACTCCCAGCGAAAACAAATTACTTCGCAAGTGTATTCATGGTTTTTAGCGCCGCCGTGCGCTTCCAAGGGTTGCTTTTGCCCCCCCCGCTTCTGCCCACTTTCTGACGTGTATGGCGATCGTTACCGTCACATACAGCTGGAAGAGGATGACAGCCCATGGGAGTTCGACAGTCTGCTGCAGTCCGTCACGCAAGAGTTCAACGCAGAGAAACGGTTGGCGTTCCGCGCGAAGCTTGGAACCGACGATGATGGAAGCACCGCGACCACTTTTGAAAGGCGGTCAAGTTCGCAGGAGCAGGGGGGGTCGCGACGATCAAGCCGTGCCCTAGTTGCTTGATACAAAATCGATCGGGTCGGGGGGAGGATTTCCGAGCATTTCTACGACAGTCTGGTTTGCTTTCTTATACAAGCAAGCGGTGCGGTGCGATATTTCGACCGCAGGAGATGAGGAACATGAGCAACACGTGCGGTACTGTTGTCTAGGCCTGTGCCACGCGTTGATCGGAGAGATATGGAGCTCGTATGGACAAGAAAAGAGAGATGAAGTCTGCAGGGCATAGCACGCGGTGTAGGAAGGAACTACAAGGCATGACATCTGGTGCAGATGGAAACTGCACGACTTTCGGGGTTGTTTCAGCCCACGCTCTTGTTGCGGAAAATGGCCGTTTTGCCCTCTGAGGACAGATGCATTTCGATGCTCGACGAAAATAAGAAATGTCCGTTGGTCGCAAGTACGTTGTCTCGTCCTGTAAAGACCTTTTTTATCTTTGCGCCATAGCACATCGCGAGGTACTTGCCCCGTTGCCCCAAGACCGACAAAAAAAACAGGGTACACAACACAGCGAGATGGTACCCAACAGACGCACATACATGTGGGCTTTTTAATTGAAGTACGAATAGACGTGAAAACGGTGCAAATTACTTTCAACGCAGGTCGTTGGCCTCAATGTGCTTCATCACGAAAGGCTTCTCGATCTGCCCGCGCGCCACCTCTGTGCGTAGAACACGTTGTTAGCACCAAGGTGAACCCTTCGCAACACTAGCGTCACCCCTCTTGCATCATGCCATGAAAACAACGCGGCTTGTACGGAAAATTTCTGTTGGGTCGCACGTGCCATCCGAGCAAAAGTGGCACCGATATTTGTGTTTCAGCTCTCTAAGGGACAAACGGATGAAGATGCATTAAGTCTTCCTCGAGCCGACCGCAAACAGACAGCCAGAACAGCCCAGAACAGCCCGGGCGCGACGCGCTTCACACTTTACCCCCCACACGGGTAAGTTCAAAGGAAGAGACGAGCACGCACAACAACCATGTCCACCGATTTTTGGGGGTCCCGCCAATGACTCTTCCAGACTGCGATCAAAGCCTGACATATCTTACGTACATTATCGGCGCTGCATGGAGTTGGACCCAAGCGCTAGCATGTGCTGTCACGCTTTCAACGGCTTGCGCATAGAAGCACTGCCCGCACCACCACCGGGAGTACCACTAAACACCCGTAGCACCTACCATGCCCTTCCAGAGTCCCGTTATGCTTATACTTGGACCCGCTTGCTCTCGTCCATAAGCCAGAATGGCAATCAATCCGACCCTCCCGCCCGGCCGTCCCATCCTCTCTTCTAAGGGGTCCCTCCAGAGTCCGATTCAACAACAACCACCTCATAGTCTAGTCTAGAGCATGACCGTGCACCAAGAATACAGCACTTGCACACCAACAATCCCAACCTACGGTATTAATAGCAGCAAAATCTACCCATGATACGCATACGATACCGACCACAAGACAGCGGCGAGCAAGCAACTACCAGTTGTAAGACATGCTCTCCGAAGCAGCCGCTTCCGTCTCCTCCTCGTACTCCACTTCCACGTACGGGTGCGACGGTTTCGCCTTCGGTTGCCGTTTCGCCTTTTTCGTGGTTGCGCCGCCTGTAGCCCCGCGTCGTCGCTTCGGCCCGTCACCATCCTCACCGCCCCTCTCTCCTTTGCCGCTCCTCGCCTTTCGTTTGCCCTTCCCGCTACCACCACCCTCCTGCTGCTCCTCGTCTTCGTCGTCGTCTGTCATGTTCGATCGGGGAGGGGACGGGGGGGGAAGAGAGAGAGGGGATAGAATTGAGAATACGAATGTATTGGAGATAGGCTAAACGGTGGCATGTATTGTATTGCGAAAAAAACGCTTGAAGAGCAGGATAGTCCGCCGAGGGATTGCAGATCGCCCAACTTCTTCACCAAAGGGGGACTAACTAACATGCCAGGTGGTCCTGCGCGAGGTATCCTACAGTGGCGCAAAAAGGTTAGAGAGATATAGCAGCGGTACTGATGGAGTGGCTTGGAAGAGGGTGATGGGATCTGCTACGGTCAAGTCAAGAACCACGTCAGATCGATCGCACCACCGAACCCGCCAGCTTTGTCCCATCCAACGATATCTGCTCGAGGCTGCCCGCATATCTGCGAGGGTCGTGCGTGCGTACCGACGGCCATGGGTTCAGAACCCAAACTGGTCATTAAATATTTCGGACGCCGGTGCATGATGGGGGTCGAGGCGTGTATCATGGCGGGTACGGCTGCAGAGTTGGAAGCACTGAACGAGGAGAGATAGTAGCGATCTTCAGCTCTGATCGCCTCCCCCCCTCCTCCTTCGGTGCTTCCAACTCTGCAGCCGCACCCGCCATGATTCACACCTCGACCCCCATCATGTACCGGCGTCCGAAGGTTTCGATGACCACCGCACACACCCATATAACCACAAAGCACACAACACACACCACCCCAGGCTGCCGTTCCGGAAGTGTCACGGCTCGCGCACACGAGAAATAAAAGGCAAAGGCTGGTTTTAGCTGCACGCCTCGGTAGCACGTGACACACGAAGCGGAAATTGTACCAAAATCAAACGATGCATGATACGCTTTTCCGGAAAGCTGTCGACGAGACCGCCGGTTTCACGCCACCATTGTCAGCACCGACACCGTTTGTGCCATGGAGTAGTTCAGCTTTGAAAATCGGTCCATGGGGCGTCATGTATAGTGTCACCTACACGGTAGAACTACCACTATGCCCGATTGGAAGCGCAGCAAATATCGTCGACCGTCGCGTGCATCGAAAGTTGTCCTCGAGCACAAAAATAAACCAGCCCCCATGCATACAACTCATCAACGCTCGTAGCCATAAGGATATGTACGCGAGGAGTCAGCAACAGTGAAAGGGGTCAGAGCAACTCTCACCATCGTCTTCGTCGCTGTCGCTATCCCCGCCTCTTGCCGCCTGCGGGCCGCCCGCCGATCCTGGTGCCCCCCAGTACGAGCCCCCCCACTCCGCCGTGTCTTCGATATCACTCTCGTCCTCCTCGAGGTCCTCCACATACTCCACCTGTTTAGATCGATCGGAACGAGGGTGGGTGTTCACGGTGGTCAAGACCTGTAGACTTGCGACATCTCGGAGCAGCTACAGTAGGTAAGGGCGGCGGAGAAGGTATCTGCATTTTCCGACTTGTGAGTGGCAGCGTTGCTGGCGTTGTTTATTTCCTGACACCTTTTCATCTGTCCAGGCACAAACACTAACAAACTCCTGACGAACCAGCGACCAAAAAGTGGTTCTTCGCAGATCCTCCTCCCCCAAACAAATGCAGGCAACATTCGTGGCCCCAACATTCGTGGCGCCTACTGTATCGTGCTGCACCTGCCTGGACCAGAACACAAAAAGGGCAGTGTGCTAGATAGAGGCCAGAGCGTGGAAGGCAACCATATCAGCAGTGGCATGAGAGCGCGAGCCAATAGAAAAATAGATTCAATGATAAATATGTATGGTATGCAAGTACTCCAAAATCATCACAAGCATCCTGAAGCAACTTTCACGTTTTCTGCTTTTGACTGGATACACACATCAGAACCTCCAAAAACACAAAAAAACGAAAAAACTATAGCCAGTGGGGTTGCGCGTGTGCGGTGAATGTTACATCATACCACAATACTCGTCCCTCCGATACAAGTGGTGTTTCCCCCCCCTCTTTTCTCTCACCTCTCCCTCCTCTTCCTCTTCCTCTTCCTCCATCGCCTCTGGGTTTTGCTCCGCGTACTCGTCCTCCGCCTCCATCAGCGCCTGTGTGGAGTCGATTATTACACATGACAATAAAACATAGCGTAGCAAGACAACATGGTCATGAAACGTGGAGTACCCGACCTCGGTCTTCCCAGTTCGCAAGTAAAGGGTCAAGTCCCTTCCTGAAAAACCTGCAAGATGGACAAGTTTTGGTACAGTCATCAACACCTGTGCCACGAGAGGTATCAATCAGAAGATCAGCCCCTTGCAACATGATAGCGAGCTAGGCGCCACCACGTACTCGTGTCGTCGTCGTCATCTTCATCGTCCAACAAGAAAATAACACCAACCACGATAACAACAACAACAACAACAGCAACAGCAACAGCAACAGCACCACCGCCAACAACGACATCACCAACAACCAAAACAAAAGCACCACCTCCAACAACAACTGACAAAATAGGTATGTTACCTTGTCGTACTGGACCTCCGGGAAGTTGTAAATGTCGCCGTAGGTACCCTTCTTCAGCCGCTCCAGCAGTTCCCCCTCGATCGAACGCTCTAGCTTAGCCGCCACCAACGCCTTCTTCTCTCTCATCTTCTCGCGTTTCTCCACCTAACACCACGAACAAGCGCCTTGTTAGTTAGAACAACACGCAAAAAGATTCCCTACTCCCAAGCGTCTACAGTAAAAGCGGGATGGGTCTCGCCCTCCGAAGGGGAGAGAAGCGCCACTGATGACGTCATACTCCCTCGTTGCGGAAACGCAAAAGCATGGTTACTGGTAAGGAGAGAAGGAAGAGGTCTGCGTGCCACTACCTCTGAGTAAGCACACACCTTGGGGTTGATGGTGACGAGCTTCGGCTTGGCCTTGAGCTTAAGCTTGCGCATCCTGATGAGGTACTGGTGGATCTTGGTCAGGCGCTGCTTGCTCCTGTGCTGCAAGTGCTTCGGGAAGAACTCCAGCTCTCGAGAAACACGTTCCAACGCCTTGCCGTAGTTGCGGGACAGCTATCCTCGCGTGTCCGAGGAGCAACAACAACGACAAAGGAGAACCGAACGACAAAGGTTACACAGGTTTCGGACAGAGACACGCGGGTTTCGGCCATGTAGGAGCCACCGACACGCAAGAATCCACGCACCAACGCGCAACGTCATTTTTCAACGATGTATCTGTTCTTCTCTTCGTCAGAACGTCCGCATTGTCAAAGTTCTCTGGCGGGTTCTACTCGCCCTTTAAGCTTGCCTCTCCACCTAAAAGATTTCCACGCATGTACGGAAAGCGAGGGTTTCTAAACAGAACCCAGGGAGGAAGTCTGACAGGCGCATGTGCCCCGGATCTGTCAGGTATGCAGAGACTGCCGCATACAACAACCAGGTGAGAACCTGTGTCCGAAAACAATGCTTCGTGTTCCGCACGAATGGATAGACAACGGGGCAAGATCAGTCACTTGGCGCACCTTGATCTTACCGCTTTGGTTAACTGCGATCCGAAGCATACACGTATGGCATCTCTCAAGTAAAATGCATTTCCCACCTTGATCTTCTCCCAAAGGTTCTTGGGCGTGTGTGCGCGCTCGATGGTCTTGATGTACAGGTAGCACACGCCATCGTGCTCTCGAATGGTGGCGTACCGAGAGTTGGCCAGGGGGCACGAGCTCTTGTTGCAGAGCCCGGTCACGTTGTACTCGTTCCTAGCAAACGTAGAATGAATACACGAATGTCGACAGGAGATACTGTAAACACCACAAGGAACAACGCAGGCTACAACACAAAGACTAGGAAGATAGTGATGGATCGCTGGCGTTCAGAAAGCGGTACAGTATACCCGAGCTGGAATGCGTGGGAGGCTCCAGCCGACGCTTGCTTCGACAGCTGGCGGAGCAAACAGCGAAGCGGGCAACAGAATAATGGGATTTTTTGTAGGATAATCTGCCTGCCTTTGGCGGGCGACGCAGACTATTAATAGTTCCCAAGGCGCACACGATTCCCGTGTTCGATACCCCGATAGTGTTGTAGGAAATATTGCAGTTTTTAGGCAAGCGGTGCATGGAGGATCATGGAAGATGGTAGAACCGCCGTCGGCTTCGGATGAGAACATACAGGATAGCCTCCCCCCACTGCCGTAAAAGATCTGTTCACCACCGCAGCCCTCTTTCCCGACGTCCCGGGTATATGAGGCAACCAATTTTGCTACACGTCAGTACGGACAGATGAAGGTAGTGTGCAGAGAGATCGGAACGGTTTTTAATGTGAAGACAATAACAACAACAACAACACATGCCACCAGAGGGCTAAGGCGGGCAGCAAGCAGTGCGCTGCACCGACCTGCAGAACGTCTGCTCCTTCGCGATCTTGCTCTTGAAAGAGCAGAACTGGTAGTTCACCACCTGCCAGATAACGTCATCGCTCTGCGAGACGCAAAAGCAAACAAGGATACAGCACGCAAAGGGGACGACACCGACGGAAGAAAAGCAGCAGGTCAACAAACGTCAGCATGGGATCGATGTTCCGGGTTTGCTTATGTGGTTTCGTCGATACAAATGAGTTTGTGGCGTCATGTGGGCGACAGCCTTTTCGTGTCAGCAACTTCGGCGAGTTACTGTATGCATACTACATAAGCGTGGAATCTTCATGCCCGACCGTCTTCCCTACATTAGACGTATTCCTTGCCGGTTGTTAGCGGAATTCATCGGCACGAGGGTTCCAACCATGTACTCGAATCCTGGGAGTAGTAGACAGCTGTGCGTTCCTTTAGAAACCCCGCACTGGCCGGTGGCAGCACGGGCCGTGGTAATATAACAGTACCGAACACGTCGCTACAGGCTTGATCACAATGGGCACGGAAATAGTCGGGGAAACCTTGCTAGCCCGGCCTCGCTCTCTCTCTGAGGGACAGGGTCCCACTTGGGCACAATGAGCTCCTATCTACTGTTCAAATGCTCGCAGTAGAGTCCGAGCCATGCACTGGCAGCAGCAGGATGTGCGATGTCGGTACGATGTACATACCCCATGTGGGTACAAAAGACAGCACAGCCAAGAGACAGCCCGACACGATATTCGGGGACCTAAGGACCCCGTGGCCATCTTGGACTGCATCGTCCGCACTCTCTAAGTACCAAGTGGGATGCTGCTGTACTTGACCACATCACATGATCAGGACATGCGGGCTCATCAGAGGTCCTCCAGAGATTGTGTGGAGTTGAGTGGCGGAGTTTGGGACGATGTTGATTGAGCCAGACATCTCTCGCAAACTGCAGGCTGAATTAAACGACCACACGTACAGACGTACACACTTACCTGCATGGTTCAAGGGCCAGCAAGCAACGGGAAACACGCCGGGAAGCACCTTCAGCGGAGCTCGAGTGTGCTCTCTGCTCTCGGGCGAGAGGCAGGACGCGGCGCAATCGAATAACTGGCGTTGAGCAACGGAGGAGGCGTGTTGGACGGGGGGCTGCTCTGGGGCTCCGTAAATGCAAAAGAACGAGAGAGCACTAGAAGAGCACCCAGCAGCTTCGACGGCAGCAAAAGAGAGCGGCGCACACCGACCCTGTGTGTTTGTATCTGTAAGGCCGTTGCTGCTGCGCGTCAACAATGCTGTCGTTTCGGCCTGTGGGCACCTTGCCGGCGGGAAGCAGTGGCTTCCAGTCTCCTTTGCCTCTTGCGCACCCGGTAAGAAGTAAGAAGCTTCTTCTGTGTGCATATGCAATGGGTTGTGTATTGTGTACACGCCGGCATGTGCGGGGTCTCTTTCTAAGGTCTTGCATTTTGCCAACCTTTGTAGATAGCTTGGCAGAGTCCGGTGCGCCCTTGCGCCTAGAGCACGGTCTAGTGGGATATCTTTTGTTGTTGGTGACCCGTTTGTGTTGCTTCATGCTGCTGTCGGCGTGTGTCTCGCGGCAATAACGTTGCTCCGTTAGGACGGCAACTCTGCCTACCTGAGAACGCCTGTTGCAATGCTGCGGGACGCAGATAACGGGGGTGACTCCTACAACAGCAGTACAACATGTAAACGCTAAATCGCAGATGAAACGGGTGCAATACATCCAACACGACCTTGCGGCTTAGGAGTCCTTCCTTCCTTCCTTCCCTTTAACTGCCATATCAGTCGGTGTTGGCTATTGTACAATAGGCAACGACGTGCTCGTTGACACGCTGGCATCTGCTACAGTACTGCTGTAGTGTTCGACTAGACGGGAAGGCTGCGACATCGAACAGAAGGCAAAGCTCTGCCGCTGGGCTCAAAATTCGCGTATCTTTATTCATTCACGAGTCAACATATCAAGCATCCCTCCGGAACGAAGTAGTTTCTCGAACGGGTACATGTAGATTTTTGTGTTGTGTAGATACGTGTTTTTCTTTCCGGATCCGAACCACATCCACCTGACCTCATGTTGTGTGAGCATCTCATGTGTCACTGCTGGTGACCTGCTTTTTCGCGTTCAGTATGAGTCATGATAATGTGTGATAACGCCATAACCAAGACCGGGTGGTCGCGCCCCTGTGTAGTGAAACACCGACACGCGGGGACTACCAACTAGCGCTTAACGCAAGAGGGGGTCCTTGCCCTTTACGCCATATAGTTTGTTGTAGTTGCCAGGGGGGGGGGCGTTGATGGTATGTTTAGAGTTCGGTACTTTCGCAAACTACTGCTGTTGGTGTTTTTGGCTACATACACTGGTTTAGGGCAAACACACTCGGGAGAGAAAGGGCGGGGCACTCTCCAGGCAGGGACCCAGACAGACACAGAGGGTCCTTACATCTTTACACACCCCTTACAGAATTCAGTTTAGTTCCACAATCCCACACGAGAAACTTTTATCAAATTTCATTTGGGGAGCAAACCATGCTTTTGTCGACCTTTATCCAAGAACCGTTTGTGAGCCGAACAGCAGCATTCCTCTGCATAACAAGCCCAACAGCCTGCAAATATTCATCAGAATGCCCATGGTACGCACCTCAAGTAGCAATGCGGTGACAACGAAGACCCAAAAGCCCGCCAAACATAACTCAAGTATATGATAAAATTATCTGTATACACCGTGCTTTGCAAACGATAGCAACAACTTGGCGGACCGATTGACTCACGACCGGCGGCTGCTGGCTGTCGCACACGCACACGAAGGATTGACACCAAAGGAAGACCTGGTCTCGCCCTCGTGGATGAGTTGCACAGTGCAGCAACGTTCCAGACCTCGTCTCTGGCGTTTGATGCTCTCCCTCTCGTGCGGTTGTGCAACACGGCCGCGACCAAACCCAAACCTTCCCCAACTTTATTTCAACCTGGTCGGGTAGCAGGTAGCCTCGAAGCGCATGATGCACGCATTGAACACAGATCGTTTGCGTATGTTCGATAGATGCACGGGGTGACTTTGCTTCACTAAATAACACACGATGGAGAAAGGGGTGCAATCAACCCTCCCCCCATCCCGCTGATGAACATTGCAGAGCAGAGGCCTCTCTAAGGGTTACATCTACCACGCTCCGTGTCACACCTGCAACATCCCACCCACGGCCTCCGCTATGCTGGCTACCCCATGTACGCGACTGACTGCTGTCGTTATTTCCCCCGTCCGTTGCATGTGTCCACTGACCACAGACGGAGGCTTCGGTAGTGCTTGTTGGAGGGAGTCGTGCCAGCGAGCACGACAGCTTCAACGGAGCATGCAGCGCGAAGATCGTAACTCCGACACCGGGCGGCGAGATGTCCGGGAGCAATAATCAAGCGAATCAGTCCTGGGGCGGGGCAGCGGGCGCCGCAGCAGGTGCGACGAAACCGTGGGATGCCCCGTGTGTTCGGTGCAACACTGCTGCGTGGGGTGCGGCGGCTGCAAACAGAATCTCGTTGATCGAGATACTTCGAAAAATTGAGGAAGGGTTGGGAGAAGTGGCCCATCCAACAGACAGAGCCAGGGGGGGGGGGCGTGAAGCGACGCAGGGGGCTCGGTGGCTCGTTTTGTTGGTGGTATCACCGACAGCGACATCCAACTCACGATCAAACCGGAGATAGCCGCTGAATAGCCCGAATAGAGTCGCACGTGCCATGCAGCAAACACGGACAGTTGTTGGAAAGGCGGCTCCCCATCATTTGTCTTGTCAGTTTCCAAGGGCCAGAATATCTCCTGTTGGCTAGAAGGCAGGTGCGGGTTGCAACAGGTTGACGTTTCTGACATTCCCGGTGTCATCCGAATGTGTGTCGTGTCTTGCTTTGCCTTGATGTTGTCGCCCTCTGTTGTGCCAGATGGGGGACGCTTGCTGGCCACCATGGTCGTCGGGGAGGGCGGAAAGGCGCTGCTCGCCCAGTTCTACCAAAAGCACGGCTGCATCGCCATCTCTGACGTCACCAGGCAAGAGACCCTCCAATCAGCGTCGTGATTGTCGTAGTCGATACTACTGACGACTGTTGTTAGTTCCCGCCGTTCTTTTTTCAAGAGAAAGCACCATCCACCGTCTTGGCGCCCATCCACCCTTTCTACGCTGCTTGGTATACACACTCCGCGGCGAACGCACACACTATTTTCTCGATTTTTTTTTTGTCTCACATCCATGTGTTTGCCGTGCTCCCACCGCCCTCTCCACTCATACCCCCAGAGGTCTACACCGAGGGTTCGTCCGTCTTCGCATTTCGCAGCCTCGCGGTAGCAACAGAGCCGCAGGCGGCGGGGTCCAGTGCATGGCCGGTTCATTGACCGCTAACAGCGGGCTCGTTTTCCTCGGGAGAGCAGGTCTTTCGGCGCTACAGGTGCAAGCAAGGCTTAAGATGACTGGGGTGGGATATATGCGGGATTATTCAGGCGAAGTTGCCTTTTGCTGAGCCTCCCTCGTCAACCACTTGCATCGCCACTTGTATCAGTAGTGCGCATGGTCACGGACTAGCCGAATTGAAGACGAACGGCTGTCAAGTCATTAACCCGTGTTGGTACCGTTGCCGTTGAGATAAGACAAGATAATCCAGGTCATCCCCTCATATTCAGTGATTTTTTGTGCGCCAAACTTAAAGATTGCGCTACAATGTATTATGGATGCGTTCAGTTTATTCTTGTCGTGTACCATACTTGGCCGTCCGCCAAGCTGTTGTTCGACTTTTGTGCAGTCTAGATCGTGTATTCACGTGTTTTTTATGTCTTGACGACTCGCGTAAGATTCTGTTAAACACCTGACTTAGCCTAGCCTTGCAACCCCGGCGTAGTGTTCCTTCTGCTCCATCGCCCACTCACGACCTCTTCGCCGGACACCGCGCACACACACACCCACGCACTCGCCATGTTTTCGGTCGTCCACCTCCAAGCAGGCGGTCAGAGTCGACCCCTGGGACGGCCTTGGCTCCCTCAGCCAACCCCTACCTGACTCGGGACCGGTGCTAGCCGTGGCCTGTCACCCCTCGAGGACCATCGTTGCTGCCTGCTTATCCGACGGTACCATATGTCTGTGGGACTACGACAGCGCGGATGGGCGAGGGAGCGGCCGTTTCTCTGGCGGGGGAGGAGGGGGGGGGGGGGGGTATTATAGAAGGGGCGAAAATTTTTTGGGGGGGGGGGGGACCCGAGCCCGCCTGGGGCCCCCCCCCGCCCCTTCCCCCGGCCGGGGGGGGGGGGGGGCCACAAAAGGTGGGAAAAAAAAAAAGGGGAAATATTTTTTTCCCCCCGGGGTTTTTGTAAAGGGGGGGTTTTTAAGGGGAGGGGAAAAGGATTGATTTGGGAAATTCCGCGGGCAAATTTTGGGGGGGGGGGGTGGGGGGGTTTTTTTTTTTTTGGGACCCACC